GCAATCCGACAATACCAAGGTGACTGACTGTGCTAAGGTATTATAGATGACATCACTCTGAATTCCAGGCTTTACATAGTATCTGTGTGGATACTCATTATTTGCTGATCCTGTATACTCATTATTCTCTGAGATAAGACTTTCTTGCATTAAGTGAGTTGTTGAAGGTCAATTAGTAAGTAAACAGAGTAATATAAGATGTTTTCATTCAACTTCCCTCATAAAGCCAACTCAAGATTTCTCAAGAAGGCTACATGTCTCCTGGATATGGATCTCAGTGTCACGAACTTCTTCCAATTTTAGTAAATTTTGTTTTATTAAGGTACTGGTGTGGTCGGTACAAATGACCTTGACTATTTAAGGTCTCCCAAGATGGAGTTACATCATTCGAGCAACTCATTTACCTTTCCAGGCTGCAGTTCTAAATGGGGACAATGTGTTTCTTATTTGAGCCACTGATGATGGGGAGTCAAGTGAACAAAAGTTGTGAGGTGCTGGGTGCCACTGGGACATCCCACACAGTTAGAGTCTGTGTTCCAAGCAAAAAGAATTCAGTGCTGAGAGGAAAAATCGGAAGTGACTCTGTGGAAATGGAGTTAACTCCGGAACTTCATTCTGATGTTTATATGGGCTATGAGGGGATGGAATCTAATCATCCAGTATTTAAGTGGCCAGAGACGATCTTATGATTTCCTGGAAATCGTCACTAAGTAAAAAGGGCAGGAGAGGATGTCTAGCCACCACCTTAGTAAACACTGTCTTTGAACTATGAACTTCTGCATGCCTTCCCAAGTGTGATAACCAGATAACATAGCAATAATTCTGTTCTGGAGTTATGGCTCCAAGTTCAGAGTATTAAGAACTGGCATAGGGTCTAGAATGGTCTAGGATGGGACATTTTATTCATATGTCACCCCTTATTGTGATCAAGGTGTGTAAGTGACTCAGAATCTTGTTCTCTTAGCTTAACGTTATCCGTACATTTTGTTTCTTCAGAAATTGAATTGATTTTGAGGATAATGGTTATTTGTATTTCTATAACCCAATAGCAGTCTCTGGGTAAAAGAATGCAAAATGTGTTTGTTTTATAAGACCCAAGATTTTCTCTCTTAATTCTTCTCATTTCAAATGTCAGCTATTCTTCCATCTCGTCTCTACAGAAGCTCTCTGGGCTCTGAAACCTGGTGAGTTAGCATGGGCATGTCAGTCTGACCTGCCAATCTCCCAGGGAGCCACCGCAAGGTGTCTGTCCCAGTTCGTTCCCAGCTTTCCTGAAAATACTGCTTGATGAAGGACTTAGAGGCTGAGCTCATTGTTTCAAAGTCCTAAAATACTGACTGCTATGGCCTGGGCACGTGTCCCCAAGATGACAGGCATCCGGTTTAGTCCCCAGCTTGGTGCTACTGAAAGGAAGTGGATCCTTCAAGAGGTGGTGTCTACCAGCAGGTCTGAGGCCACTGGGGACATGGTCCTGGTGGGGACTGTTGGACCTGGGGGTTCTTGCTCTCTCTCACTGCCTGATACCACGGAGTCGGACACTTCCTTTACCATGTGTTCCTGTCATGATGTACAGCTTAAAAGAGGCCAAAGCAACAGAATAGACTGACATGGACTGGAACCTTCAGAACTGGGAATTAAAACAAAACTTTCCTTTACAGTTGCTTATCTCAGGTAGTATACTACAGTAATTTAAAAAAACCCTAATATACTGATTTTAAGTTATTACTATTCCAAAGTTATGGGTGGAAGGTGGATTAAAAAACCAATATACTGATTTTAAGTTATTACTATTCTAAAGTTATGGGTGGAAGGTAGAACTATGATTAAGGTTACATTCATGCCTGGCTTCTCTTTTGTATTGCCCAGCATCCGACCAGGGTGTTTCCTCCACACAAAGCTTGTTGCTGATGTCACAGCTGACTCAACACTGGAGCATGCCTGGCAATGGATTAGTCAATGGGATGTTCCAACATTGTAAAAATGAGCTTTTCTGAGTGTCCCATAAACAGTCACTGTTTAGAGACACAGTCGTGGGTTATGAAGCCGTGTGTGCTCCAAGGCTAGTTGCTTGAGAGCCACCTTCTGGGGTGTTTCTAATTTATTCTTGTTCTGGATGAGCAAAGCACAAAGCACATCTAAGTAGACACACACAGCTCTTCGCTCATGAATTATAGTAGGCTACGGATCCCATCCATGGCAATAACTATTTAACATTCTAAAAGACAACTTGAGATTTAGAGAGAAGCAAAGTAATTGTTTGTTTCTCAGCATACTGTTGTTCTCAATTTGTGCCAAGAGAGCAATACAAAATAATATTTGCAAGTCACTCTCATGCTTCCAAACTACCTTTTATGCCTTTTAATTGCTACCACATACTATGCATGGCTTATTGCATTATAGTGGCATGCGGGACCTTTCTCATTGAATCTTTGCAGTTCAATGGGGGCCTTTGATTTATGATGGGTTGAGTTACGATTTCTTTTCTGGCTTCACACCGTCAGTGCCGTGTTCTATATTACAGGGGGTACCCCACATTTTATCAGAGAACAGATTTTATGTTGCATGCCTTTCTTCTAGCTACTTGCTGATATAGGTGTTCTGAGAATGTCTAAGGGAGGGCACACTGAGCTACGATGCCTGGTAGGTTAGGTGCTGGATTCGTTTCTTTTCTGTTGCTGTGATAAGATGTCGTGGCAAAAGCAACTTAAGGACAAAAGGGTTTTGGCTCACAGTTCCAGAGGCTAAAGTGTATTGTGGTTGAGAAAGCATGGCCACAGGTAGGGAAGGCATGGTGCCGGAGGAGGCAGCTGGCTGGCTACATTGCATCCAAACTGAGAAACACAGGGGTCCAAAGCCCTCCCTTAGTGATGTACTTTCTCCAGCAAGATTCTTTCCTTCTAAAGGTTTTGCAACTTTCCCAAGGAGTGGTATCAGCTAAGGACCAAGTGTTCATACACATGAGCCTTTGGGGAAATTATTTAAAAATATTCAAACTCCAAAAAGGTATGTATATATATATATATACATATATATGTATACATACATATGCATTTTTCGAGACAGAGTGTCTCTGTATTGTTTTGGAGGCTGTCCTGGAACTCGCTCTGTAGACCAGGCTGGTCTCGAATTCACAGAGATCCACAGAGATCTGCCTCCCGAGTGCTGGGATTAAAGGCATGCGCCACCAACGCCCGGCTTCCAACAGGTATATTTAAATGCGTTTCTGACTCAGGGACCTTACGACCTGTGATGGGTTAATGGTGATTATAGGCCAGGCAGCACCTGCTTCATCTAGATGTTATCATTAGACAGACTTGAGCAGAGAGTCCATGGGGGAAGGACAGGCCAGAAGCAGGGCAATGCCACAAGCAGCCACTCTCATCAACTCCTCTCCTCCAAGACGGGGTTCAGTGTTGTGTGCCCAGGCACCGTCAGCCTCACAGAATGGCAAGGGCTGTTGGAGGGGATCCAACTTGGGCGAAATTCAAGTGTATGCTGACTACAGGTAGTGAGTGCAAATCACAAAAGGACTGGATAATACGTGTTAGCCAATCAGATCCATGCATTGCATGGGCTTTCTGTGTTTGCATCCTTCCTCTCTTGACAGCACCATTTACTAGAGGTCTAACACATTCCACATGTTGGAGAGGCTCCTTTTGTTTTTCTGTTGTTTTCTCTACATGTTTACCATTCCCCCTTACATTCTGGAAGGCAGAAGTTTAACCTCAGAGAGGAAGAGGCCAGACTCTATACTGAGCTTTTGGCCCTGAATTGAAATTCAGGTATTGGTATCAGCCATAGCTGCAAGCCCTCTGGAGAACACATCTGTCCTTGAGAGGGAGGGTCAGATCTCTCTTCACTCTGGAATAGTACTCTCACTTGCTAATCCTGTGACCCGATTCTAGGACAAAGCGGGTCCTGTGCTACTGTCCCCAGCAAAGCTGAGGCAGAGGGGTTTGGGAGTCCTGAACCGCAGAGGAAGGAATCCATAGGGCTTTCCTCAAAGAGCTTTGGAGAAGCACAAAGGGGAAGGGATTTCCACCAATCTGAGAGATTGAGAAGGGACAGTAGCAAGAGGTTGCACACACACACACACACACACACACACACACACACACACACACACACACACACCCTGATGCCCTGACAGAAGCTAAAATTCTCCTACAGCTGTGGAACAAGACTTAGAAAGGGGGAGGAGGACCTAAGACTGTTGTGTTCACTCCTGCAAACACCCTCTTGTGGCTCAGAATCAGAAACTCCCCTGTTCCAGAAAACTGAAGGCAGCATCTCCAGGGCCCAGCTTAAGGTGCAGCAAGGAATTCTGATTTTGGTTTTATAGTAGCAGGTTTTACATACACATATAGAATAGTGTGATATTCCTGATCTACATTTAGAGGACAACTAAAAAAGGCAAAATGTATTCCAAGAAGAAAAAAATTGTAAACATGATATGTTTAATTTGAATAATATTACATATTAAAATACCTGTATCTACTATTTCTCAGTGTTTTCACATATTAATAAATACATATATCTAACAAAATAGATAGCTTAGCCAGGCATGGTGGCACTCATGTTTAATCCCAGCACTTGGAAGGCAGAGGCAGGCTGATTGCTGTTTGTTTGAGACCAGCCTGGTCTACATAGGGAGTTCCAGGTCAGTCTGAGCTACACAGTAAGACCCTGCCTCAAAAACAACAAAACTGAGTATGTCAGAGAGCATTATATTGCACTTAGATAAGTCCTAGGGTTTCTTCTCAAACTCATCCAACATTAATGCGAGGGATGCAGTCGGCGACTAAGCTGCACTAATTGCAAATTCTACCCTGCCAGGCAGTGCCACTCGGAAACGCCCTTAATTGTATTTGCTCGGTCAAACCGCTTTGCTTTTTCAGCCGCTCCCTTATAACTGAGCAAAATAGAGAATTCTTGTGGACATAAAACACCAGCTCCCCACATACTATTTCTCTGTCTCATCGCCATTGAACAGTGCTCACCTTTAGGAGTGCCACCGAGTTGGTTTCTCTGCAGTATCAGTACCTTTAGACGGGGCAGTCTGCTGTGGGAGCTGTTTCTGTGCCGCCTTTGCTGAGCGGGGCGAGCCCGGGGCAGATCCAGCGAGAGGGAACGCAGGGCATTGTTGCTGAGGTTTAGTACTTCCAGAGCATGTAAAGGAGCCAGAGGGCTGAGGGTCATTTTCGATATGCTTTGGTTACTGAGGTCCAGATGTTTTATTTGCCATTCTTTTCTCGTGTGAGACTGGAAGAAGACTTGAAAGGAAAGGGAACTCACATCCACGGTGTCTGCTATCTGTGATGTGTGTCTCATAGAAGACCAGTTTGCTAAGAGATGCTCATCCCACTGGTACTCAGGGTTGCGGAAAACACCACTTTTTCTCGGTGAGTTTGTCGCTGTTCCCGGAAAGCAAAGACCTATAACTGTGATGGTAACTCTGACGTAGAAGTCTTTCATAATGCCTGGAAAAAGGTAGTAAAATGATTAATTCAATTAATTAATAAAACAAGCAGCAAATAAAAAGCAGAAAACTTCATTTTCAACTTAAGATTTAGAAACATTCTTAACAATCAACTGAAGTGAACATTTGATTTCTTAGAAACTGGCCTCTGAAAGGGAACTCCCCAAAAGCCATAGCTGTAGAATAAAAGATGAATGTACATTTTATGGAAAGACCTCCCCTCGGTATTCATAAAACACACATTTTCCAAAGCCTCACCTCTACGCCACCTTCCCAGGATCCTCCAGCCTGTGGTCTCCTTCCTAGTGAGTCCAACTGTTCTGCTCTGCCGCTTGTCACCAGCACAGGGCAAAGTCTGTTACACTTATCTACAACACCGTCATGTGGTTTATGACATGAATGACACACAGTTACACTACAGAGAGAACCTTTCATACAAATAGAAAGTGCAACTCACACAACGGACATTCCAGTCTTTTTCTGACTAGAACAATATCTTCATATGGCTTTTGCTACTTTTCACACAACTTTGAAAAATTCTTTTAAATGTACAGAAAATAAAAATGGTCATGAAAAGGATGTCCTGCCCCAAGCCATGAAGAAGTCAGAAAATACAGAAATGTCAAGTCTTTTTCATGTCACTGTAGCAACCGTAGGTTTTGAAATAAGTGTGTACAAGTTTCAAAGGCTGAATACACACAGGAAAGCAACTGCAACAGGTGGGCAAACGGGCTCTTGAGATGTGCTTTAGGCTAAACTCCATGAAGACAAAACCAGAGTACAAATAGCAAGCTTTCTCAACCACACATCACCATTCCTTTCTGGTCTCAAGCCAGCTATTTGAGCTGCCGTCATATCTGAAGCATTAGAATAGCTTCACTGAGCTTCCTGGTCCTGCTCCCACCCCCACCCCCACTTTGTAGGTAACTCCAAAGAATTAATTTTTTCCAAAACATACCATTTCCCTTGCAGATTTTCCTCCCTCGAAATTTTAAAATGTTCCCTTAATTGCCTCTAGTCTGAATTCCCAAGGTTGTCTGTCATTCAAAACTTCTCATAATGTAGCTACTCTGGTGAGCTAAGTTTGATAAATTCATGTGGAGTAACCAGGAGATGTGGCCCGGGCAAGGGATGTATATGTCTCCCTCACACCAAATGAGTTTTTCATCTGACCCTAACCCATGGTCATGCCAGTGCCCTCTGTGGTCTGAATCATGCACATACAAGTCTCATCTCAAGTCTTATGGTCCGAACCCCTCTTTCTCAAGTTAGCCAATGTTTTGTCTTTGCTTTCACAATACTTTTGTTAGCGCTCTGCTTTGAGAGTTCAGACAAAAACAAAAGGAGTGCAAGTATCTCCCCCACCCATGCTTCACAGTTTTGATGTTCTGGAGTCTGTCACTGGGTGTGCCCTTTACACGAATGAATGCACAGAATGAAGGACATTCTCACTATAACGTCTAAACTTTTGTTTCATACTAGGTCAATTCTCCCATATCTCAGAGGCTATCTAAATTTAGGTACATAGACTGCAAAGGTACTCTACTTATAGCAAAGAGTAATTTGCCCCTTATGCAATACCAGAAACTGAATTCATTTTCCTATTCAGAGAGATATTGCTTTGACACCAAAGCTGCAATCATTATGCATACAATTGGATGCCAAGCTAATGTAATATTATCAAAAAATTACATAAGTTATAAATGTGCACATTCCTTTCTAACAGTGAAGACAATGATGGGTTTGAAAAACACACCTCTTTCAGAGGGGATATAAATGAAAGATTTTTTTAATAGTCTGGCCCTTTTCAAGGTGGAAAGATTGATATTGGAATAGATTTGCATTCAAAGCAGGAAAATTAGGATAATTTTATCTCTAAAATGAAAAGTATTAGCTGGGCAGTGGGGGCGCACACCTTTTATCAGAACACTCAGGAAACAGAGGCAGGCAGATCTCTGTAAGTTCAAGGCCAGCCTGGTTTACCAAGTGAGTTCCAGGACAGCCTGGGCTGTTACACAGAGAAACTCTGTCTCAGAAAAAAAAGAAAATGAGAAATTAATTTTAAGAAACATTATTTATATCATATTACATATAAAAGTCTATATGTGAGGCTAACCCCCCAAAACCAAACAAAAAACATCAAAAACCACCCCCCAAATAAAACAATCAGAAAACAGTGAGAATTCCAGAGGAAAGTACAAATAACTAAGCAGAATGTAAATCTTTAACTAGACTTATTCAAGTTGAGGTGTGAGGAAGCAGTTAGAAATAATTGGAGACAGAGAAAGGTAACAGGAAAAGCTGAAGTAGAGAAAAGATAAATTCTTCTGTAAGAATTCAGAAAAAGAGAATGAAACAGTGAAGGTCTTCAGGTAATGAGATGTGGGAAGGACAGGACTTTGATCTGAGGCCTACCTCAGGGTCCTTAGGCCAGTTCTAACTGCTCTGTCTCCAGCTGATCCAGCCAAGTGCAGGTTTCAGATCTGTGCCCTGGAGGCTCCGCCCATGTCCCCAGCTCTGCAGTCAGCCCCCACCCTTTCCTCTCCTGGCTTTTTCCTTAGTGAGGGAACACCACCGTTTCCTGGGCCACTGAGAGAAGCCTTCTTCGAGGCACAGATGAGACTATTTAAAGTGGGAATGCACAGATTTCTGACTCCAGAGAGGTCACAAAAACAGATCACAGTGGCCCGGTCTCAAGCTATATTAAGAGTCTGTGTTTGTGCTAAAGTAGAAGCTCATTAATAAAGTCATTAAGAAACCGACAGCAAAGTTCACAGAATTTTATTGTAAACAGAGGTCATCGATCTGAAACATATTATAGCTTTATTTTTGTGTGGCATAGCTTGTGACTTTGTCCCTCTTACATCATTCAGAAGATTACAATGACCAGCACTTCAGTGGTCTCCTCTTTCAAGTTTAACACAGCAATTCTAACCCCCTCAGAAAATACTTATCCAAACCAGGTAGAAATTCTTCCTTTCATCATTAAAACTATCATACAAAGTTTACTTTGCTTCTGTTACAGTGCAAAAAGGCTGCCAATAAAACGTATTTTAAAAGATTGCAGATGATGGCTGGCAGCTCTGCTTGGGGTTGTGTATTTTCCCCTATGCTGGACAATCTCTAAGGAATCTTACGTTTATTTCTTCTGTCTCTTTGCATTGATGTCCACCTCTAAAGAGTTGTTCTTACTTAAATAAATGTTGCCTGTTTTCCTCTTGCATTGTTTCCCCCAAGGCTGCTGCAGCAGCATATTCTCTCAGTGTAGTATGTTCCAAAAAAGAAATGAACATATGAGCAGGAACACCTCCTCCCCCGCCCCCCGTCCCTGACTTCACTGCACCAAGAGAACGTGATCTTGCTTGGCTTCACAGGAGAGCCTCCAGGTCAGTGCTCCACCGGTGGGTCTACCTGCAGTGGATTCTAAAATGTCATCCCCAAGCACCACTGGCTTCACAGAACATCAGGACGTCCTCTCGTGATAAAGTGCTCTTCAGAGATGTATCAAAACACAAGTGTTTTTCAAGGAAATATAAAAATACATTTGTTCATGAATTGCATTTAGTAAATAATACTTAGTAATAGTGTTTTGTGGTTTGAGTAAAAAATATTTATTTAAGGAAATTCTCAAAACAGATTTAAAAAGAACAAGTAACAAATGTATAATTTAAAAATATACTAAGCATGTAAATGAGAATTCCAAACATGATTTTTCTGAGCATTTTTAGTTATTAAACAATGCTTGAATATATCCAAAGGTATAAACCACTCTTTCTTTATACCTACAACCTGCATTTAGTGTCAGGTCTCAAGTCAGTTCTTAGCTCAGCCTGAGTTCACAATCTATAAGGTATTCAGTTTCTCCATTTGACATAAATGTGACAATATTGAACACAAATTGTTTTATATATTGATTTTCTTATTCACATAGTTCTAAATGACTATGACTGAATACAAGTGTTCTTCTGTGTAGCTAGATCCATGATACCTCCCTGCTGTCTACTTTACAGCTATGTATTCTGGGTCCCTGATCCCATGTATCTTAGTAATACCAGAAAATTCCTTTCAAATCAAGTATAAAATACACTAAGAATCAATTGGCTTGAGGGCTATAAATAGTTAAAATGAGACAGTAAGATGAGGAGCAGAGATAAAAGTTTTATACCTAGCTAAAATAACCTGCACCATCTTCTGCATCAGCACCCTTTGTTCTAGTGTATACTAGTTTCCAGGCACAGTATACTTCTAAAGGGTGATGCTAGTATGGGACACTAGAGGAAATGCATTGGGGCAGCAAGGCCTATTGAGGCTTAGGCTCCCCCTTTCCACCGAGTTTCCCCAGGGCTTAAGGAAATCTATACTGGCCTCTCTGTAACTCATTCAGGTGCTCCCATGTGGCAAGCAGACCAAGTAGATCTGTCTGTTGAATGACAGCTTGGAATTGGCTCAAGATAGTTTAAAATCTGACAGTGATTGGTCATGTTTTGCTGACAGATTAGTATTTTAACTAGAGTAGCACACATGTTTCATTTTTACCTAATTAGGCTTTTTCCATCTTTTGAGAATTTTAAATAATTGAAAATTCAGTGTAGAGTATAAAAGGCAGAAACACATTTGGATCAGGTCCATCTAGTTTAAAACTGTACTTAAATTCCAACCCCAAGTCCATCCTTTACTATGTGGTATGAGGCAGGTTCCTTAACCTCTCTGACTTTCAGTTTCCCGATGGGTGAAGCTGGCACTGAAACACTTGCTGAGTGGTATAGTTAGAGAAGCCCAGGCCAGAGCTGAGGAAGAAGAGGCCCAGTGATGACAGCTGCTGTTACCACATACCAGTGAGGACTGGGATTGGGTTTTAATGTCTATGCATTGCAGATACTACATGTACCACTATTTTAAGTAAACATCCCATGACAGTATTCTCTTTAGTGCAAAAGTAAGGAACACAGTTTCTTACAAGCTCATACATGGAAAATTCTTCAATGGCTTGTCTGTGAAAATGTGGCTTTGGATTAAAAGCCAAAAGACAGAGCACAGACAGTGACATCTCTAGTGGATCTCTCCTTACTGGACATAACCAAAGGCTTGCTTACAGTGAGCCTTAACTCTTCAGCCCATTGTCCTTTAGACAAGAGATGGTAGAATGTTAAAAACACCTCCAAGATTACTTTTGGTTTTATTAGTTTCTCATAGTTATTTTAGAGAACTGTCCTGTTAGTGTCAGTCAACTTAATAAAGCATATTAGAATTTAGGCACTCAAAAATCCCTTAAATATGGAGAGCACGTAACAGATACAGTGGTGCTCCCCAGTTCAAATACAAGTTATCACAAACTGCAAAACCTGGTTCACATGCATTCATGAAAAGAAAAGGTCAAGCTGAGATCGGATCATATTGACCCTGGGGCTGGAGCTTCTAATGAGTGTTCCCACAGGGGTTGTCTGCCACCTGGCAGCCCATGTTGTGGCCCGTTACTTGCACTTTGAAGAGCGTGCCATCGGCACACATGCAGAGTTTGTAGCGCACCCAGTCACCACCTCCCAACTGGTCCCCACTTGAGGAACTGGGCAGGCGAGTTGGGCTGACCATCACAGTTCCATTGAGGATGATGCTGTTTTCCTAGAAGGACAGGAATATGGTTTAGTTACCGCCACAAAATGGGCATAGAAGGAAGTTATTAAACTAGACAAAACTTATGAAATAGTAAGGGGGAAAGGGGGCAGAAGAGAGTAAGGTCATGATCAAAACAACCATGGCTATCACAAAACCAGATTCCTACAAGGATTCGAAAGGTTGACTCTCGTTTAAGTCAGTCCCTACTGTGAGTCAACAAACCTGCAACAGAGCTTGCAAACACTAGTCAAAGTATGGCTGATGGTAACAGTCTCGGATAATGTTTTTCACTTTTTGACTCCAGGGAACTTTCAGTTACTGACTAATGTTGATATTGTGTGTGGGGTATTTTTCTCTTAAGACAAACTAATTTTAGTTAATAGAAATTCAACTAAAGATTAAAACTGTAGTTTACTAGATCAGGCTTTCAAAGAAACTGAGGGTTTCTTCTTTAAATTCATAGCTAGAGTCATTTTCTAGGCTCTGAAGACCGTGTGTGTGTGTGTGTGTGTGTGTGTGTGTGTGTGTGTGTGTGTGTGTGTATGTGTGTGTGTGTGGTGTGTGCGCACGCATGCACATGGAGGTCAGAGGTTGAACATGTGTGTCTTTGTAAATGGATCTCTAGCGTACTTCGTGGTGAGGTCTCCTTCACTGAACTGGAGCTCAGCTAGCAGGCTAGGCTGGCTGGTCCTTTGCCTGTGCATCCTGCGTAGTAGGACTAGAGGCACACACCGCTGCCACGCCTGCCTTATTTGTGTGCTCGTGGTTCTGGACTCAGTCCACATGCCTGCTGGGAAGCGCTTCACCCGTTCTTTTCAGGGACCAGTAAGTTTCCACTTCTCTCCTTCTTCCGCTCTCCCTCTCCTCACATTTAGCGAATTGTTACTAAATACTGTCATGTGCCAGACCCCATTCTAGGTGCTGGCGGTATGACAGCAGACAAATGTGTAACTGGGACATTCCGTTCAGTGGAATCAGGCAGACAATAAACCAACAAACAGGCCAGTGTGTAGGGACAGTGGAGGGAGAGCGGTTGAGGACTGATTTTGCACAAGGTGGCCTGAGAAGGTCACACTCCAACAGGAACGGAAGTGGGGACATGTAGGTAATTGGGAAGGGCACTCTAGGCGAGGACACTGACTGGAAGGCCCACGGTGAAGATGGGCCTCATGTAAGGAGCCCAGGGTAGATGACACACAGGCGCTATGTGAAAGACAGCAGCAGGATGTGAGACACAGAAATAACCAGGGACCAGACTGGGAAGACTAGGGAACAGGCTTAGGGTTTTACATGGAATTAGAAGGGAAGCCCATTTAAAGGGTGAACGGTGAGTGACAGAGTCTTTTAAAAAGGTCCTTCTGAAGCAGGAACTGTGGCACACATCCCAGCATTGTGATCCAGCCAGCACTTGAGAGGCAGCAGGATTTGAGTTCAGGCCAGCCTGGGGTCTAGAGGGGCCCGGTCTCATTAAAAACGTTACCGGAGGCTGGCTGTATCTCCAAACAGTCCAATCGTCTCACCACATGAAGCTGCCAGGCACTGCAGGCAGCTCCCGGGGTGGAACTGGGCTATGCCAGTGGCTGTTGGCCGGGGCACTGAGAGAAATGCATGTTTGGGGAGGAACCAGGATCTCGAATTTTACACTTGTGGGACTTCAGATGCCTGCGGCTGTGGAAGTGAGGAAGGGAAGCTGGCGGCTGGATAAGGACCCTAATTCGTAGGAAAAGTCAAGACAGTTTGTGGCCTGGAAGCCATCACTTTAGGGAGGGGCTTAAAGCAATGGGAGCTGGTCTTAAAGTGGCAGGAATGGCTACCGCTATGTACAGACCGAACAGCGACTTTTGTCTGAAATGCTTGTGGCAGGACCATTTCATATTTCTGAGTTTATTTTACTCATTTTGGAGAATTTGCATAGAATTTACTGGGTGAGCATCCAAAATTTCAGAATAAAGTGCTTAACGCTATTCTGAAATAAAAGTTCCAAGTATTAAGGGATCCATTTCAAATTTTGTTTCCATGCTGCCATCTTGTGGTCATTTAGTTTTATTTTCTTGAAAATGTAGCAATGCTCAATGCATTGTAGCACAGGGTGACTAAAGTTAACAGTATTTTTATATATGCAAATAGTCCGAATATACAATTTTGAATGTTCCTAATCTAAGAGGTGGTAGATATCTGAGATAATGTGCATATTAATTACTCAAATCTGATCATGTGCACATGAATCAAAACATACAATGCACCCCATAAATATGTGTATTATGTCAATTAAAAATAAAAGTGAAAAATAAAATTTAAAAGATACTTTAATAAAATTATTTCTAATGATTAGCTTACAGACTCTAAATCTAACTATGGATATCAACTGATTTACAAAGCTGAGTATCTTTTCAGTACTAGAAACTAGTATGTAGAATACTTCAGACTATTAAGATTTGTCACATCAACAAGGCAGAATGTCATGAGGATTTTCTGGTGGGCAGAATGAAAGACACGGTACCTTAGGCATGTTACTGTATGTATACAGAGGGCTCAGACCTCACTTCTCTGACCTTTCATGTCAACAGCAACCTGAAGCCCTGGCTGCTCGTCATTCCTCAGAGAGCGTCCTACCACAGCCAAAAACTCCTCACGGGCCTGTGATACCTCTGGCAGGAGTTATGTTCATCTTTATCATCCAGAGATAGGATTGGGCATGTTAGGGAGAAAACTGTTAAAATGAAACACCTCCTTTTCTTTCTCAAGTTTATTATTTCTAAGTATTATAAAACTGAAATTTTTTTTTGAAGAGGGAAAATGAATGACCTCTAAGTTCTCAGATTTAAGGTCACTTTTGTCATGTGATTCTTGGTAACACACATTTCCTTAGCCTTATATAAGCACATTGAGCAAGGTATCCAGAGGCATGTGGGATAACTCTGTTCTGGCCCAAACTATGAGCTGGTAAGAAGGGTGGACTCTATGGCCTCTCAGTGTGAATAGGAGGCTAGCTGGGCTCAGCTACAGTCAGTGAAGCCGAAAGCAAATGTCACAGTGGACACAGAGTCTCCCTCACAGCTCACAGCTCACCGATGTCAGGTAAAACACAGGCCCTCTTTACTTACAGTTCTCCTCATAGCCTTGGGCACAAAACTTGGGAATGGATAGGGGTAGTCTTCAATTAAACAATAACAACTACTTCAGGGGACACACATTTTGATCTCTTAGAATTCTCTATCAGAAGGCCTGTTTGGGTTTTTTTTTCTGTCTTTTACAATAATTATGTTATTCTTTCACTCTTAGATAAATATTGTTAACATTTTACTACATCCTTTCAAATTTTATAAACATGCACATGTTCTGAAAGAAGTGAGATAATAATTTTATAAATTATTTTATGACTTTCTTTCATTTCACAATCCCTTTGAAACATCTCAATTACGACAAAAATAATTTTCAGTAATTGTGTATTACTATTCAAAATAATTATCTTAAATTCACACACAAAACAATACTCACGGCCTTTAGCTCCACATTGCCCCCCATGTGAAATTCAATAGTTTTGCCCATGATGAACACGCCTTCATTACCACGAACAATCGCACGCCCATCAACTTTGATATTTAAGTCACTGGTAGCATTGCTGGTAATCTAAAAATGAAAACATGTGCTGAAAGGGGTATGTCGGTTAAGGTGAGAATTACTATCACAGAGAAGCAAAAGTTTCAACTATGGGCTATAAAGGGCAGTTTTATAACCGTGGGAATTAACATACTGAGAGTCCTTATTAGTGCTCCCACAGGCTAAGGACAGGGCTAGGAACAGCCCTTGGCTGGTCTGGGGTCACATTTTTCATGCAGCCTAAACCATCCCCCAGGGAGTAGCTGCAGACAAACCCCCGCTGGTGATGTTGGAAGAATAAACCATACCCTCTCAGTGGACGCCTTCTGAACATTCAAACTTTTCACTCCACTTGGCAAATGAAACTCGTGAGTCTCGTAGTCTGTGCTGAATAAAATATTTTGTGTCCTCGGGTCGAAAAACTGCATTCCAATGTCACTGGTGATAGACGTTTTGTTCTTTTCTACACTCAGCTTGGTTGTCCCTTGCTGAAAAACAATCTTCAGAAAAATGCTTTATTGTATGTTTTCAAAGAATGTATAAACGAAGTTTTAAGAATACTACAAAACAGTAAGGTTAAAAAACTAAAATGACGCTAAGAGCCAAACTTTAAATTCTTGTAACTGCATCTGGCCTTAAGACTGGATAATGTATGACTTTAAAATGAAGAGGAAAATTAAAAATTGTGCACTCCTTTGCTGACACACGACCCACTGTACAAACACACAGGTCACAGGGAGCATGGCTGGGGTCTAAGGTGGCCAGTGTGGAGGGAAGGAAACACCCTTGAGGGTCATTCAGTTAAAGCCTGTGTTTTAGCAGCCACTGGTCCCTATGCGCCACTGAGTAGCATTTCTCTTGCTGATGCCAAGAATCTGGACTTCCGACTGGGAAGGTGCTTTTACAATGGCTTTGTCACTGGAAGAGCAAACAGAGACCTGCATACTCTTACAGGAATTGGAGGCAGGGGTGGGGGGGTGGGGTGGGGTGTGTGTGTGGGAGGGAATGAGACACGGGACACGGGACTCTAGAATATTAAGTACCTAACTCTAGTGAGACTACAAAGCTAAATATCCTGACCATTGGGCACTTATGAAGATGGATAAGTTTGTGTATATAATGCATATTTTAACAAGAAGATAGTATTTTCCAGCATTCAGCTGTAGGTTTTCATGAGCACTCTAGTCCACGCCTCTCTCCATCCACACACTTTCTTTTGTGGGGAAACTTACTGGCTGGTTGTTGCCAGTGATGACCAGGTTTTCATTCCTCCTTCCTCCCACTGTGCTCTTATAGAGCGGGTGGATGACACCCATGTCGGACACTTGCTTGAATCGCAGTAGACCGCTTTCATGGAACTCCATGCTGTCACAGCCATTTGGCCCAATTCGAATCACAGCCCAGATGACAAGAGTAATCTGAAAGAGAGACATGTTTGTAGTTACTAGTCACATACTAGACACGCCTGGAAGCGAACAGGAATGATCATGTCCAAATGTGAGGCCTCTGGACATGTTTAATTGGTGAGATGAACGCACTAGCTGGTGGTCTGCTGGGAGAATGATTTATTTTTACCAAAGTGTTAAACACACACACAAACAGGAGCTGGACTGCTTGATCTACAGAAAATGGCAGCGCTACTTATTCCTGCTCTCCCGTCATGTTCCCTAAGGACAAGCAACCACATTCAACACTTTCAGTTGTTCCATCTGGAGTTGATCTCCCTATTTCTAAATAATATATACTGAGTTTCTTACTTCACCAATTTCCTTCACTTACTTCCTATTTTAGCAGATACGAATTTGCTCTCACTGTTACGTCTTTTCTCTTGCAACTCCAAACTGTGTTCAATATTTACTTGTTATGACCATACAACTATTGTTTACCATCATACTGAACATTATCTTGTAATTCTTTTTAATATTTATGTCTTCATAGTTCAATTTTTATTATTTTGAAAATTGAACTAAATCTCAGATACTTCTGTATTTCTGCAAATTTCTCAGTAAAACAAATGTTCTGCAATTCACGCTTCTCAGACAATGGCAGTTCTGCTTTTCTCTTCTAGTTTATTTTTCTGGACCTGGTCTTTTTGCTCCATCTCTCCAACCACATATGTGAATACCTATGACTTCTTCATTATTTCATTGCACCATTTGAAATGCCATGTTATTTTTGTTTCACGGATGGAATATTATCTATCTCAGAAGAAGCTGATTATAGTTTCAGAGAGCTCTTTTCGTTGTTGTTTTCTGAGATAGAATCTCATGAAGTCCAGGCTGGCCTCTCATGCACTATGTAGTCAAGGCTGGCCTTGAACTCCTGATCCTTCCACCTCCACTTCCCAAGTACTAGGTTTACACCATGGCTTTGTGGGTTTTGTCTTATGCCATTCATTGCATGTTTCTCTATCTCCCTGAGTTCTGCTTCTCCCATGGTGGGTATTTTGGTCTCTATCAGTTTTCAATTATTATAGTTACCTCACAAATCCACTGACCCCTGGCCCAGTGCACAGCTGTAAAACGTCCAGAGAGAACTCGAGTGACCATCTAGCCTGTCTCTTCAGCACCTCCTACTGGCATTCAGTACCACAACAAGCTTGTAAAGGACTCTATGAGGGGTGGGCCTCCTGACCTACAGGCTTTCCAGTGGGAGTATTCTTTTTTACGGTCCTGTCCAATGTCACTGTCGTGTTGCATTCTTTCTCTGGGTGCTTTAACTCCCCAGAGAGGGGTTCTCCTCTAGCCTGTGTCGAGGTAGCTGGAGGTAGAAGATGGAAGGAAAGGAGCGTGGGAAGTGAGCCTCTGAACTCAGTGTTAGGCTGCCCTGTTTTCAGGATGCAAATTCCCTTGTACAATGGTTCCTGGTGTCTGACACTCACAGACCTGGGGTGCTGGCAGTTGTGCCTGGAGCTGAGGACAAGTTGTGGTTAGAATTGGTTAGCTGCTGGCTGGGAAGTGAGAGGCAGGGGATTTTACTACCTCAGACTTTTCACACAATTCATCTATTTCAGTCCCTGACTTGATCTTAATTAATAAAATCCTTTTCCTTCTAACTCTGGGTTCTGCAAGGCATTTTATCAATATAGCTTGTGTTCTTCTCTTACACACACACACACACACACACACACACACACACACGCACACGCACGCACGCACGCACACACACACGCACGTCTGTCTTTCCCTTAGGATTTTGGCCACTTCTCACTCTCTTCAAATACATTTATGTTTCCTGACACTGTTACTTTGAGTGAGTTTTTAGAGAACAGAACAGAATTGTCTTAATTCTGCCATCCTTGCCAGGAATCTCCGATAAAGCAAATGCATAAGGCACAATAAATCCAGAATGCATGCTTCCGGTAAAGCTATTTATGGTACCTTCTTTAAAGTGTGTGTCGGCTCTTCCCTTGGTGAGGGATTGGACACAAATGTTTTAGAAGTACAGGAAGTACAAAGGAATGATCAAGAGCATGGGGGGATCGATGGCTCACTCTGAACAGAAGGTACCATTCACTGATGGTGTCACAGGCTCCAATGCTAACCTCCAGAGCTACCATCTCGCATTAAGAAGTCCCTTCTTCAAAACAGTAACTACTCAGGGAAGGACAGGTCAGGGCCCAGCCCCTCAGTGAGAATGGGCCAGGTAGAGCCTTCAGATTTTGACACTGGAGACTGAGGCTAAAAGACACAAACTTTCAGTGTTATCAAAGTGTTTATGTTTTACAATCAATATGTAAGGAACACTGAATGAAATTGTATTTTTTAAGGAGAGAAAAAGGCAATAACGTCCCAGTGAAGTTCTCTTCCAGTGAGTTTACATAACCTTTATTAAAGACAATTCCTTTAAGGGGATAAGCCATCAATATTTTTCTAGATGGGATTAATATATGGATATACCTTACTAAGTTTTTTTAAATTGTCTTCACTTACTTTTGTGAGATGGGGAGAGACGCCTATTAGTTTTTTATGTTAAAGCACTAACTAAAGTCCAATAGGAGATAGAACATGTATAGAAAAGACCGTTCCAAAACACAGTACACAAACAAAACCCATGATCTTGCTGAAAAAGACACGAATTTCCCAAGGTAAGTTAGGCAGGAATGCTCTGTCCCACATACTCACGAGTAGATTGATGACAGCCAGGATAAACAGGAGGACAATCACACAGATGGCCAAGTTGCCCTTTCTCCCTCTCAATCCGGTCTTATGGAGCCGGTCTTCATCAATAGGGATATACCCAGCTTTAAAGTTGCTGTTATGCTCCTTGTTAACGTTCCTTCGCTCCACAGCCTTTTCCCGCATGGACTTCTTCACTGGCCCATTGGAACTTTGCTAAGAGCCAAACAGAGTGGAACAGCTATCTTTCTGCTGATGCATTTGTTAAGTTCATACTCATCACTAAAGAAAGCTGCACTGGCTGGTGACAGATGTTCCACAAATACGTTGCAAGTCAGGTTGAACTGTGGATGTCAAGGTTACTGTCATATATAGCCATGTTTTCTTTGCTTTCAGTCATTCCACTGTCAAAGTGGGTACAGCTCACTTCTGGGCAACATCGGCACACATACATATTGCAGTGGGTAATCTTATTTTTACTAGCGACTTATTAAATTTTTAATCATATATTTTTATGTAAATGAAAAGAATTTGGAATGATTGACACAGATTGCTACTTATACTACAACCAATTAAAGCCTACATTGTTCTAGATCAGCAATTTTCCAAGTATTCAGGGGCAGTCGCATGAATATATATATTTGCACAGGGATGGCAACTGGACTCTTTCCAAGGTCTGAAATGTCAGACACATTTTTTTTTGTTTTTATGAGACAGGGTTTCTCTGTATTGTTTCAGAGGCTGTCGGTTCAGCCCGGCCTCGAACTCACAGAGATCCGCCTGCCTCTGCCTCCCGAGTGCTGGGATTAAAGGCGTGAGCCACCACCGCCCGGCTGTCAGACACATTTTTAAAATAATAATAATATTTGTCTTTTACTGTCCTACTCTATTGAATGTGACCATTTATGATAACATGATTGTTCTAAGAGTTAATGAAATGTTTGCTCGGGCATACCTATGTTTACAAACACAGAAGGGCCAGCAGAAATGAGCACTGTCCAATTTCCATATTTTTTCAGAGTTCTGAGACAATTCCTTATTGTAGAAGGCACATTCTAAGAACTGTATGCTTAAACAATATCACAATAAGTAGGAACGTAAGATAGGAGAGCATGATCCTTATCTTGTAAGGTATTACACACCTGCATTGTGTGTTACATGACATGCATACTCTGTAGGTTCTGGTGCCGAAATCAGTAATATAGGCAAATACATGTTTCAGAGTTCAAATGCAGGAGGAGTTGGGGCACTCTGGAGTTGTTAGGAACCTGGGAGGAGCAGGTGGTCAGGTCTGGCAACACGGGGAGAAGGAAGGTGGAGAGCAGAGCCAGGCTGAGACTGTGGAGTCTGGTCTTTGGGAGTCACTGTGGTTTCTGAGCACAAATGGCATGTGTTTCAGCATGCTGGATGTTAAAGGAACACTTGACAGCGGGAAGCCGGCTTTCAGATAATGAGGGATAAACTAAGGTGGGATAGGTACTCGAATGACGGGAAAATGAAGTGAGGAGTGATAAACAGCAAAGCACTGCCCGAAAGACGACTTTCTCCTGGGGGCAGGGGGGCTACTGAGGTTATGCTGCTGGTGGGGGGGGTAGCCTTCTCTTCCTCCTAATCTTCCTCTTCTTCCCCTCCCTCCTCCTCCTCCTCCCAATCTTCCTTCTCCTCCTCTCCCTGCTCCTCTTCCCCCTCCTCCAGTCCTCCTCTCCTCCTAGTCTGCATTTCTTTCTTTACTCTTTTAGAGACAGAGACAGACAGAATTCTCGAGAGGAGGCACATGCACCACGGTATGTGTGTGGAGATCAGAGGGCAACTTTTGGGAGTTGGTCCTCTCATTTCACCACCTGGGTTCCTTAGGTTGAACTCAGGAACTTCAAGTCCTCCAAGCCATCTTGCTAGCCCCCACTGAAGACATTTACATGGAAGCAAAACCATGCCCCCCCATGAGAAGGACTGGAATAGAAGAGCAGGAGATGCCCCCACATTTCCTTGGCTTTGGAGATGAAGCTGGGGGAGAAGTCTTAAGTGGAAGAACTGCCAGGACCCGGTGACTGTGCCACAGAGGTGTCTACAATGACTTCCAAACAGAATACGTCACATAATTTGTGGGACCCCAAACACAAAAGCAAGTCTTCCTGTTCAAATATAAAGTTGATGACATCAGATCACTAAGCCCAAAGTGTGTTTTTCCATAGCTCTGTTCAGTCAGTCCTGCTCTGGTTAGGGTAGCCAAGTGAGCAGATGATTGTAACCTTTTCGTGGTTAGAACAGACCCCGGAGCATCAAGCTGCACTCACTTGTACAACAGCAAAGACTCCTCTAATTCAGAGGCTGATTTAGTTCAGGGATACACTAGAAACTGAGGAATGGCTTCAGTCCCAACAGCTCATGCTGAATCCTTACAGCTCACGCCAAATCCTTACAGCTTCACTTGTTCCTTTGTGAATCTGCACTTGCCTATTGTTACAACTGACTGTTCCACGTTTGTGTGGCCATTGACTTTTAGGTGAAGGCAGATTTCATGTCTATTTTTTCTACCCCTTAGAACGAGTCCTCCAGGAACACATACCTAACAGGTCTCTGAAATGTTAGCTCCCTGAGAAAATGGTCCCTAAAGACCAATTGCAACTTCACTCACTTTTTGTTTTCCAATTATGTTGAAGAATGGGACTTTTAAAGGGAAACTATCTTACCTTTTATTTTAAAAGGTAAATAACGATAAAGAAGTGACTGTGAAAACTGTCTTTATTATAACGTCACTCTGGCAACTACACGCCTGGGCAGTATTCACACATTTCACACGTATGTGCATGCGAAAGTACAGCTTGATATTTAGGGGGAAGCCTTTTCAACTATTCTAGGCTTACAACGAGGGCCAGGAAATATCTGATAATGCATTTCTTAAAAGTAACCTTAAACCCACTGGGCACGGGTCAGTTTTATATTGGTGACTGAATCTCCGAGAAACCAAAGTGGGAGGGGAAATCTGGGCTGTGTGCACATCGGGCATGGCAGAAACAAGACCTGGCCGCGATCCACACTAGGCAACAGCTGACCACGACTTGGCTGGTGTCGGACAGTCTCCCGGCCCCAGCTGATGTTATTTTTACCCGCATGGTTGCTCGCTGCGGAGAGCAGCGTCCAGGCGCAGGCTGCGCAGGCCGGTGACCCGTGTCACTCCCTCCGAGGGACAGCTCCCCTCACCGGCCTGGAGCGGCCGGCTGTCCAGGTTCCCGCCCGGCCTTCGCCAGCATCCTGGCTGCGGACAGCTCCCGCTGCCCCGCCCTGCCGCCCCGCCCTGCCGCCCGAGCCCGGCCCTCGCGCCCTGGTCCCCGCCCTCCGTGGGGAAGACCCGGCCATCCCGCTCCCTAAGCCCTCGGCCTCAGCAGGCTCACAGACCTGCTCTGTCGCCGCCGCTGCCGCCGCCGCCGCCGCCATCTTGGTCCGCTGCAGCCTGCGCTTGCGCTCTGGCACGGGGGTGGGGCTCATACCCTCGCTGGCCACACCCCGCCACGCCCCCGAAAGAATCCAGAGTGGGCAAGGAGTCTGCAGGCTCAGATTCGGGGAGGTGGGTCACTTGCGACCTGGAGCTGCTGCGGGTTGGATGGGCGTGGCAGGGACCTACGCGCTCTGGGGTGTCCTCCTCGAAAATGCAATACATGCCTTTCCTTTCCTCATACGTGGAATGCTGTATCATCCCAAGCTGCGATGACTTAAGAGGGAGAGGGGCATCATCGAGAGTACTTGCGTCCAAGGCTTGGATGCAGACCGAACGGACAGAGGTTAGACAGTTAAATCAAACCACTCCTCCAGGAAGACTGTTGTCAAGTCCGGCACTCTTTCTTTGAGGCATTAGGGGGGCAGATCGTCTGTCCATACAATGTTGGAGATGTGCGGACCATATTAGATCCTTAGGAACCTAACTATTGACGCACAGTGAGCACCAGGAAGACATTCGGAGGTGCAGGTAACAGGTGTACATTTGTTGCTCTGTGCTCTAATAATCCATTAAGTCGGAAGGAAAACTACAAGAGAGTGAGTAGCATCCAACGTCCAAGAACTGTTCCTCGGGCCATGAATAGTTTCAAAAAAGTACTATGCCCAGGGTCATTTGCTTTTGTAACCAGTCCCGTCGCTGCTCCACCTATTTCTGATGGCTGTGGAATTTGAACAGACACTCTGTTACATAACGAATGACTTCTAACCCTTTCCCCTTTTCATGTCTGATTTGGGGTAAGAGCTGCATCTGTGTGGTAATTTGTTTGCTCATGTCTTCCTTCCCAACTGCTGAAGCCACCTGGCTCCATCTACATAATGCAGCTACATTTTAGGCAGGAAGACTATAAATACAACTCACAGGTTTGGGAATTAGCAGTCTCTATGTAATAGCTTGGCTCTCTAGTCCCACTTATCAACTTTGACAATACGACTTTGGACTGGTCCTGGGTTCCTGTGTTTCTCTTTTTACTGTGCTCTGAAGGTTCTTTTCCTTTCTCTCCGACAGACATACTCCTTTGTGTCCCCAAGAACCTATCAAATGTCACATTCTCTTTGGAGCCTTCTGAGGCGCCAGTCAGTAAGTAGTATAAGTGCTCTGTTTCTAATCTTGTGTGGGGTTTCAGTTTGCAGTGTTGAAGGCCTATGTCTCAATCACACACAGTAATGCGATTTATTAGATGTCTTCCAGAGCTGCCTGACATTCTGTTTTAAGATAATAAGCTCCACCTTGCTTTTCCTAACCTGTCTCCTCATAGGTGCTTTGATAATGGATTTTTCTGAAGTCAGATGGCCCATGGCTGTCTGAAGATGTATTTTCCTTGGATTCCTCATTGCTAACAGGACACCACTTATTGGGTGGGTGTCCTGTTTTTGTCTTGTTTTTGCTGCTGTTTTTTGAGATTTGATATTTTATGTGTTTTAATGTTTTGCTGGCAGGTAAGGATGTGCACTTCCTGCATGCCTGGTGATGGTAGGGATGAGGAGAGGGTGTTAGACACTGGGATTGGAGTTACAGTTGTGAGCCTCCAAATAGGTACAGGGAACTGAGCTCAGGTCCTCTGCAAGAGCAGCCAAAGCTATTAATCTCCAGAACCCGCCCACCTCCACAATTTGTCTTTTAAAAAAGAGAACCAATTCATTCATTCAACCACAAGCATAATGTGAATCATTTCTAATGATATTATTTGAAAGCTCCCCCTCAGGAAATATTTGGAGGGTGCTATGTGCTTGGCAATGTCTGTAATTCTCCCAGCAGTCTTGTTTTAACTGGCATTATACCATTTCACTATGACACTCACTTTATACTTAATATTTTGTCTTGTTATTTTGCTTTTAACATAGTTTTCTCCTAAGCAGACTGTGTGATCCTTACAAACTGGTGCAGTATGTCGTTACATATTACTCCAAGTCCTGGTCATGGTAGGAACCAAATACACAATAAATGCCAAATAACTCCAGTGAGTGAGTACTGGTCTTTTTCACTAAAACAAACAAACAAAGTATCTCTGACATAGATCTGCTTTAACACTCACCGTACAATACTCCAGAGAAGGACCACCTTTCCATCACTCTGTGCCTCACATTTGCTCTTCCAAGTCCTGTCCCACCTCCTATAGGACCTCTCACATGGTATATAGGAAGGGATCTATTACAGTTCCATTTGTAGCCCTGGCTGCCTTCCCACTGCCTATAGAATAAACATCAATCTATTGGCCCAAGAGGTTCATCATAGCCAAACCCAGGGCTCTTCTTGGCTTGTTTCTGACACTGTAGTCATAGTAGACTCTACACTTCTTACCCTTGTAGCTTTCATGTCTCTGCATCCACTTTCCTGTGTCTGGTAGACTCCTCTATCCTTACAGAGCTGGTTCTAAATGCCACCTTCTTCTCAGAAGACAAGGAAGGAAGAATCACCATGGCCATAGTTCTATAGTTGTCCTATTAGTGTTTTACATCCTGCGCTATGGTTGTTATGTCTGCTGCAGAGTGTGAGACCCCAGAGAGCAGGAGGCCAGTCTTAAATCACCTTATACTGAAGGCAGATGGGTGGGTCATGATCAAAATCCAGTAAATGCTATTAAATGTGTGAAAAGGAACCATTTCCATATCAGCCATCCTAGGCACCACCTTCCTGCTGTACCACGTCATTCTTCTGAGAGAATGAAGGGTATCTGCGGGGACTGATCTTACCTTGTTCCTCTCTCTGCAGTGTTCAGTGCGCTGAGCGCCCCCCCCATGACCATGACCCCCAGAACCATGTATTTGCTATTTCATTGAACTAGAGGCGATGAAAAGTTGACAGAAGGGATCCCTTCTGTGTAGAAGTAAGTATAACACAAACCTTGGTTGGGATTAGGTGGGCATCGGGGTCAATACAACTTATCTGTCTTATTTTTCCTCTTCTATTCCGCATTTAAACTTATTGTAAATATTTATTTAGGTATCATAGTGATAAAATTTTGGTATATTACAATTCTTGTAGGTTTTTTTTGTTGCTGTTTTTGTTTCGTATCTTAGGCAAACTACATGAAGGGATTGTACAGGAAAATAATTCTGATCTGCCCAGAGAGAATGCACACTGCTATTGTATTGGCAGTCCGCAGGAAACCTTGACTTTACTGCTTCCTAGAGGAGGATTCTGCCTTCAGCTCCACCTGAACCAGCTGATTCTTCCTTCGGTGGGTGCTTATTGTTTTTGTTTAAGTGGAAGAAAGCATAAAGGGCAAAATTAAGATCCTGATGTAAGAACAAAGGCCACCCCGGTTAGCGAATGCTGTCTAAAATGGACAAGGAAGTGCTTCTCCATACAGGATAAAGTGTCTTAGCATACCACCGGTAAATTCTGGTGTGTGTGTGTGTGTGTGTGTGTGTGTGTGTGTGTGTGTGTGTGTGTGTAGATGTTTCAATCGCTTCACCTTATTTTTTGAGACACAGTCTCTCCCTGAACCTGCAGTTCAGTAATTATTTAGACGAATTGGCCAGCAATCCCTGGGAGTCTCCCGTCTCTGTGCCTCCCCTTTTAAACGCATGTACTGGCGGCGGAGGGCGGGGCGTGAATCCAAACAACTCAGGTCCTCGCGCTTGCATTACAAACACCTACCGACTGGGAAATTGTATCACTGAGGAAACTCCGTTTTAAAAGCAATTTCATGCAAGTGCAGCAAAAGCTAGGTTTCCTTTGAACAGAAATACAGGTCCTGATCTCCTTGCCCCCGCAAACCTCCAAGATCCTGTCAGGGACAGCAGTAGATCAAGCGTGGTATGGCACAACGAGGGGTCCCTGAGTGTCCACATACAACACAGGTTGGTTAGGGATTGCACCTGTCCCTGCCAAGGAAGACCTGGAAGTTAGGGCGAGGATCTCACCTAGAAGCTGCGTGTGTCGTTCTACAGAGAACAAATCTATTGACTTAGACCGAGTGGGACAGGGGACAAAGACAAAGACAAAGACATAAGTAGTAAAATCGCACATTTTAGTACCAGTTTCACAGGCAAACAGAGAGAATTAAAGACTTGAGAGGCGGAGGAATTAAGGAAGGGCCATGGAAGTCTACTCAGAATCTCCACGGAGTTAACTTGCTTTCCTGGGCACGCGCACTGTCACCCGGAGTGGGATGCCGCCACAGGTTAGGTATCTTGCGGTCCCCTAGTCCTCCTGACAGGTCTAGGTCCAGCACAGAGTCAGGCAGCAGGGATCCCCCACCCTCACCCCGCCCACTGTCTCTGGGGCTTGAGGGTCCTCCAGCGGGTCACACGCCCCAGAGTTCCGACCGCCTGGGCGCCCTCGACCTGGGTCCGCAGAGCCATCGGGGAAGGGGGTGCTGGGGTGGTGTTGTTGTTGCGGTCTCGGCAGATCCCCAAGGTCCCCAAGCTGGCCAGGAGCTGGGTGGAGGGGCGGGGCGTTGCTCCGACGCGAGCCGCTGGTCCCTGGCAGCAGGCCGCCACGTCAAGGTTTGTTTAATAATCGACGGGGTATTTATGGCCTGGCGGGAGAGCAGCAGCGGGGGAGCTAGAACAGCGAGCCGGCCAGTGGATGAGGCGCGGCGCCTGCGGCTCAGGGCGCCTCCCCCCTCGGCTTCCCGAACCCTGCCAGGTCCGACCCGAGGGGGAGGATGGACACTCCAGTTGCGTTCTGAGCCTGCGCAGAAGATAACACCCCTGCGGCCACAGCACCCCACCGTCCCGCCCAGGACACCCCCTCGCCCCTGTCCTTTCTATTAGTCGATCTCCAGGAGTCGGACGGACGCGCGGAAGAGCGCGCGATGGCAGAAAACGTGAGGAGGCTGGCCAAAAGCGAATCTTTTCGAGCACTGCCGGACAAAGTCTCCTACTGGGTGAAGGACTACAACGTGAGTCCGGGTGGGAGACCCCAGGCTCGCCCTGCCTCGATTCCCCCGCACAGCCTAGACCCGGGCTGGCGTCCTGGAGGTCGCTTCGCAAAGTCACAGCTCTAGAGACCCTAACGGGGATCTCAGACTCCTACCCAGATCAAAGAAGAAGTCCCCTGTCAATCGGAACTCTTCATTCAGGGTGGGGTGATTCTGGCAGCCGCAGAGCGCTAACCTGTGGTTAGGTAACCATGGACGCCGTGGCCCTAGCAACAGAGGGGCTTGGTCCGGCTGCCAGCCACTCCCATTCTCTCTGCCTGCTTTGGAATTATTTTATACACCATCCTTCCCTTTCCCTGCCTTTCCTCAAGGTTCTCACTTTTCACAACACCCAGGATCGTATCAGAGCGAACTTTTCTAAACCTACACCTGGGATTTATTATAGGAAAAGAGACAGTTGTAAAAGTTGCACCCTTTGTTGGCGTGCTGGAAGTTACCAGAGACACTTCCAGGAGGTGTTGCCAAGGCTTTTGTAAGAAATTACTGTGTCACCAGCATTCTGTCACACCCAGAAGCACACTCCAAATTTTATTAATCCCACTCCACCCTGGCTCCAACAGCGGCACGCTGAATTTGTCTCACAATCGATGCAAGTGCCTTGAATGGGAGGCCCTTGGCTTTACCTAGAGCACAGAGCAGTCAACAGGGAGAGAAGTGAATTGGGGATTCAGGCGTTGGCCTGGGTTCTAGGTCTGAATGTGATTACAACAAGCCAAGTAATGTTTCCCAGCCTTTCTGGGTCTTACCACCTCAATCTGTTCCATGTTGGGAATTTAATTATTATTAGGTAATAATAATTACAATAATTTGTAACGTTACTTTCTAAATCTCAGATTTTTAAAATCTAGATGGGCTTGTTTTGGTATTTACATCTGGATGCATGCTGTATCTTGTTATGTGTGGTTTGGATTCGAGTCAGTTGCTAAACACATTCCTGTAACCCCTAAAGTGGTTTTATTAGTATCAGGGAATTTTGGTTTAAACCTTAAGATGAATATCCACTGCATCAAACTCTAGTTAAAACGCTAGTTGTAGGAAACCAAGTTTGTTAAAACGCTGTAAATTGTATTTTCTTTGGAAGGTTGATTTTGCTGATTGTATCCATACTGGCTTAGTTAGAATTAACTTTAAAAAAAAAGTCATGCATAATGTTTTACAATTAAAGCCACACCCCCGGGGGAAGCTATTTTAAAAGAAAACGAATAAATAGCTTATAGCAACCCTAAACACGATGTCAATTGTCTTCCAACTAATGACTTTAGCTTTCCTTGCATTCGCCTGGTGTGGTTTCCTTCTCTTTCATCCTCCTCCACCTTATTTTGGACAGTCCTGCACTTGCACCAGAAACCTGGTAACTGTGCTCTAAGACAGGCTTCCCTGTGAACTAAGCCTTAGCTTCTTTTTAATCCATGTTTTCTTCTTCCTGAGTTTCAGTTACCCACAGTCAACTACGATCTGAAAATGTCAAACAAAATCAATTACTATGTTTTAGATGGTGTGCGGAGTAGGGTGATGAAATATCTACTAGAGGTCATTCACTTCTTGTTGAAGCTTGTCCAGAGTATGCATGAGCTATATACTACCCACAGACAGCACTGCCTCCATTTCCGAATGGACAGCTGATGGTCTTTAAAAACATCAATCTATGCCCTAAGCCTTAAAAATGTTGGTTTATCTGGGTGGTGGTGGTGTACCTCTATAGTCTCAGCACTTGGGAGGCAGATGCAAGTAGACCTCTGTGAGTTCAAGCCCAGCCTGGTCTACAGAGTGAGTTCCAGGACTGTCAGAGCTGTTACACAGAGAAACCCAGTCTTGAAAACCCAATATAATGTGTGTGTGTGTGTGTGTGTGTGTGTGTGTGTGTGTGTGTGTGTGTTGGTTTATTTTTAATGTTAAAGCACCAGCAGTCTTCTGGGTCAAGGAAGAAGCTACTCCATGTTGATTTTTTATTTTATTTACATATCAATCTCCCCATTCCCTCTCCCTCCCATCCTTTCACACTCCCCACTGACCCCCCACTCCCCAGGGACAGTGAGGCCCTTCATGGGGGACCATCAAAGTCCATCACATCATTTGGGGGAGGGCCCAGGCTTTCCTTCCTGTCCCCAGGCCCTCCTTCCTGTATCTGGGCTGCAACAGTATCCCTCCACAGGGAATGGGCTCCCAAAGTCCATTTGTGCTCTAGGGATAAACACTGACTCCACTGTTAGAGGTCCCATAGACTGCCCTGGCCTCCTAGCTGGCACCCACATTCAGAGGGCTTGGTTCGGTCCAATGCTGGTTCCCAAGCTTTACAACTAGGGTCTCTGTGCTCTCACTAGGTCAGGTCAACTGTTAATACAGATTTCTCCAGCACAGTCTTGGCTCATTTGCTCATCCTTCCTCCCTTTCTGCAACTGGATTCCAGGAGTATGGCTCAGTGTTTAACTGTGGGTGCCTGTTTCTGCTTTGGTCAGCTACTGGATGAAGACTCTAGGAATGGCAGCCAAGGTAGTCATCAATCTCATTATAGAAGAAGGGCATCAAAGGCAGCTTCTCCATCACTGCCTAGATTCTTAGTTGAGGTTATCCCTATGTATCCACTAACATTTCCCCTGTGCTAGACTTCTCTCCAAATCTATACTGGCTCCCTCTATCAAGGCATCTCCTTTTTTGCCCTCCCCTACCAATCCCCTGCCTCAGTCCTCTTGTTCTCCTCCCCCTCCTTCCCTCTCCCCTTCCCACCTTCTTCCTCCCCCCTCCATGCTCCCAATTTGTTCAGGGGTTCTTGTCCCCCTCCCCTTCTTTGGGGGATCATATGTTCTTTTGGGGGTACTCCTTGTTTCCTAGTTTCTCTGGTGGTGTGGATTGTAGGCTGGTAGTCCTTTGCTCTATGTCTAATATCCATATATGAGTGAATACATATCCTGCTTGTCTTTCTGTTACTGGGTTACCTCACTCAGGATGGTTGCATCATTTGCCTGTAAATTTCAAGATTCCATTTTTTTTTCTGCTGAGTAGTACTCCATTGTGTAAATGTACCGCATTTTCTCCATCCGTTCTTCGGTTGAGGGGCATCTAGGTTGCTTCCAGGTTCTGGCTATTACAAATAATGCTGCTCTGAACATAGTTGAACATATATCCTTGTTGTATGAATGTGCATCCATGTTGATTTAAACTCAATCCTTTTTAGGGCTGATGTGATGATTCAGTAGGCCCTGGCTGGTGAGAGCTATATATTTTTAATTACAATTTTTTGCTTCCTGTGTGTGAGTGTTTAGTCAGTGCACTACTGTTCAGCACTGGCAGACAGCAGAATAGGGTACCAGGTCCCCGGAAACCAGAGTAACCAATGGTTGTGGTGATCTGCCAAGTGAGTGCTGAGAATTGAACCCGGGTCCTCAGAAGAGGAGCCAGTGCTCTTAACTGCTGAGCCATCACTCCATCCCTAATGGAGTTGAGCCTTAACGGTGAGCCTCCATCTGCAGAAGAGAAAGGGCTAGAGGAGACTCCATGTGCAAGCAGTAGGGACCCCTCATGGAACTGGTGGGGCCCGGGACTAGTTCAAAGTGGCAGATGGCAAGGAGATGAGGCAGACTAGGTGGAGAGCTGGGGGCAGATGTCAGAAGGAGTTCAGCTTTGCTTGAGGGCCAGAGGGAGACTCTGAAATCACGATGCAGGAGGAGGACCACTTGGGATGAGGTCTTATACTGTCTGTTCTGCTTGTCTTGTGATGGGGAAACTAGAAAGAAGGTTTGGGGCTCAGTGATAATTTGAGGCAAGAGAATATAAGAATATAAACCTGGCATATTTAGCAGACAAGATGAAAGAAACCTTAAAGGATGCCCTTTAAGGTTCACGTGAGAGCACGGTGTTTAAATATCGGAAATTTATGGGGTAGCAACTGCATAGTTTTATTGGCCAATTCTGAAAAAGGCAAGAATAACTTTATGTGCAGAGCTGAAATCTGATGACAACTACTCCTTGGAGATGTCATCTGGAGACAAGAAATGCACCTTATGTTACACTACCTGTGATAGGCCAACCCTGGACTGATCCCTCCTCTCCCTAGGATACCTCTATTTCCCCCTCGAAGTCCTGTGGACTAAGGAGTTAACTTGAGTTAGATGTGCTTAGCCTTGATTCTAAAAGCGTGTGTTCTAGAGTTATAGCAGCAAATGGTAAATACTCTATCCTTTATAGATGATATTTTTTCTTTTGAGTCAAAGTCTTGTCATATATAGGCTAGGTTAGCTTCTAACTTGCAATTCCTCTGACTCAACCTCGTGAGTGCTGAGATTACAGGCATGCAATTTTTTAAAAAGTAAAAATAATAGTTACAAGGACATTACAATTCATAAATTTTGTTTGTCTTTTTGTTCTTTTTAACAAAAAAGGGTCTCAAACTTGATTATGTAGTTAGAGATGAACTTGAGTTCCTAATCTTCCTGCCTTCACCTCCCATGTACTGGGATTACATATGTGAGCCATCATACCCAGTTTATGTGCTGCTAGGGACAGAATTGGGAATTTGTGCATGCCAGGCAAGGATTCTATCAGTGGATCCCCAGCCCCCAGGAAGATTGGTTATTTAATATGTGAGTGAGAGTACTGGCAAGAGCTGGTAATATGAGAGGAGTTCTCTCTATATAACTTTTTTCTTACGTTAAGGATGTCTACGCTAATAGTTGTAAACATGGTATTAAATGTCAACGTACACAAAGGAGATCTTACTGAGGTGTGTCTTTTCTGACTTAGAATAGTGTTTGTGGTTGAAACAGAGGTCTGTCAGTGTTGCTATGGTGTATTCAAACAGACTCACTGACCATTGTGACCGCTCCTCAGTCAACAGACTAACGCATTCTACAGTGTGCAATCTAAGCAGTAAACTTAGAACATTATCCTTTTCTTTATCTCTTTACTGCCAGATCAAGCTGCAGGAATGAATGAACAAACTTGGGTCTCAAGGTCTCAAGGGGAAAGATACTTCTCTTCTGAAAATTCAGAGGACAGCTCTTCATCTCTGGTTCAGTTCCCCTTTGGAGAGCGTAACTGGTGTTCTATCATGCCATCTGGAAGAGCTGCAGGGGAAGGAGGCAAACCTGTACTGCTCTTAAATGGCATATTGTCCTTAGTCACCATCCCTTTGCCAGAAGCATGGCTGTGTATGACTTAATGATGGACGTATCTTTTGAAAAAGGCATCCTTGGGCAATTCTATGGTTGTGTGAGTATTATAGTGTATACTTACCCAAGCTAAATGATGCTCTGGAACCAGTCTTCCATATGGCTATTAGCTGCAGAAATGTCATATAACCATAGTTCTGTGGCTCCAGTTTGATTGTTAGGCAGCTAAAGTGTATCTGAGAGCTTAAGGACACTGTGGCACCACAGAATCCTGCTCTTGCTTTTTTGGAGTTGCCTTTTTTTCTTGGTCCTTCATTTTCCTTTTTTTTTTGGCCATCATTTTGCTCTTTAAACTAGCTATATTCTCTTCCTCAGCCCGCTCCTGACACAGCAGGATGGTCCCTGAGCCCTCTGCCCATCCTGATCTCAATTCTGTGGAATTCCACTTTCTCCCATTCCAAGCCACACCCCTGTTCCTGCCACTCTCTAGTTTTGGACTCTACCTGTTTTTGGCAGTGCTGTGGTGTGATGCATGTCTCACATGATGAGGTTGTGGGAGCCAGTGTAGAACCCAGCCCAATCAGCCTTTCTTCGAATGACCTAGCTTTACTTTCCTGTGTTGGGGAGTCTCCTGAAGTAAAGGTAGCCAATGTATAGCATTGTTGTGAAGATCACCCTGAAAGGTCTTAGCACAGTGCTGGGAGGAAGCAGAGGCTCAGCCAGAGACTCTTATTAGACAGTTCTATTTCCATCTGAAGGTCCTACAGGTACCCTGAACTGCCCAAGTCCAAACTCATTACCCTTAGGTAATGCTAGGTAATGCTGGCATCAATGGGATCTTGGCTGATGTAGGTGTGATTCATGATAAGGACCCTTGATTTGTCTACATCATTCAGCGTTCCTCAGCCTCTTCCCTTCAGACTAACTTTTCTAACATCTCCAAACCCTGGAGTCACCCTCCTACACCCTCTACCTCTTCTCCAGAGCCACCCTGTGATGTGGACTCTACATGATCTGTCCCTGAAAAGAGTTTTGTAAAGTGAGGAGCACCCATGACCCTTGTCAGGTGACCTGACCTTGCTTGTCTTATTGGTGTTTTCATCAAGCCTCCTAGTGGTAGATTGAGGCTTTCAGCTGGGCCATTGAGTGAAGGAGGCATATTCTCCAGATGCACCTGCCGCGGCTTGTTACTCCTTCTCTTGAAATGCCCTTCTCTCTCCCTTTCCCCTTCTCTTTTACTTCCTTCTCCTCCCCTTCCCAGCTCTCCCTCTCCTCCCCCTACCGAAAGCTTGCTTTGTTCTGCCTCTAGCTTACATCCAATACAGAACACTTGGTACAGTCAGAGATGATCATTTATAGAGCCTTTGCTTCGCAGTCTCCATCCTTTTCCCCAGCGCTGAGCTCATCCATAGCAGTCAACATACTTCATTTAAAAGTAGCTTAGGCGTGGAGGGCTGCCAGTCCAAGATCCTATATAGATAGAAAGTCCGGGAATTCATGAATGAGTAAATCTTAGACTCTGTGCTCTGGACAGAGTACATTTGATTCCCATATTCTTTCTGTTTATCAGATGATGGGGCTAATAGGATAATGTGATCCTAGTATAGCTCAAGCATCCCCTGTGTGGGGAGCTGGGCATGTTAGGACACATCTCATATTCCTGTGTGAATATTTTTGGTGTGTACACAAAGGCTCTTTGTACACCAGACAAGGCACAGAAGCAGATGGTGGGTAACCACAGCCACTTCCAGTTGAGGATCTATGCTTGAGTCAGCTCCAAAAGTCAGTTACTTCCTAAGTCTGAGAGCATCCCATTACATGTCTTTTGTAAAAGAATCCATCTTGCTGTTGGACAATGGGATCTGAATCCAGAGCTGCCTGATTCCTGGGTCCTGACTCGTTTTGATGCTGCATACTACTTCAAAGTTACCTGTGACTTCTTGAAGGGCAGGATGGTTTGTTTGGATTATTTCTCCTAACACTTCCATGATAGTATCATCCCCACTGTTGTATGAGTGGAAAACAGACCCAACTGGCAAGGCTGGGCAACTTGTGCATAGTCCTGACATCTATGTAGTTTACACCCACTAGATTTATTGCTTGTTCCTAGTGCTGTCCCCTCTTTCAGTGTCAGAATCAGTTCAAGGTTTAGCTATGAACATCAAATAATGACCAAAGCAGAATAAAAACCAAGAGGCCCACATGGTCTTCTAGTGTTCCATCCTCATCACTGAAAGGGTTCCAAATCCAGTAGGGCCATCTCTTTCCCCCAAACCAGACTTCAGAAACCTTCCCCAACTTTGGAGACAGCAGCTCTCCAGTGGACCTGATGCCCCTTGCACTCCCTACTCTCCTCTATCTACTAGTGGCCACGGGCCTCCTTTTGACTTGCTCCCCATCATATCCCCACCCGCATCCCAGCACAATACCTTCCTGCTGTTAAAGGGGTTGTAAACTTGGCACACGTGGCATTCAAAACTGAACTTTATGAACAAGATGAATGGTACAGCAGATAAATAAGGCAGCCATGTGTATTGGGGTGTAAACAGTCTCTTCAATTCATAAGGGGACTTTTTTCCTTTCTTTCAGGAGTAGAATTATTGCTATGAAAGCAGTTTCTCAAACCTCAATGGCTTAAACACCCACAAAGCAGGTTCCTCAGCCATCTATCAGTTCAGAGCCACTGTTTATCAAGTCAACAGCTCTGGGGGGGTCTCGTGTTTCCACACCCCTCCATTTCCCCATGGAGATTCCTAATGCTTCCTCTGCATTTAGCTGGCAGATCTGCAAATCTAGAAACAGAGCTGCTCAAGAGATTTTTCTCTGCCAGGCCTGATGTCTACCACTTCCCAGACCATGAGTTGAACCCAATCACAGAGTCACCTGGGCCAAACAGATCAATCCCAGCTGTGTGTCTAGAGGTATCGATTCTGGTAGTGCCCAGCAATCGATGTCAGAGCCTGGTAGCCCCTGGACCACACAGGCTCATTCATGTCTATCTGCAGTGGGTTCCAGTAACTAGAAAATGTACGATGTCTTCTATTTTGACATTACAGAAAAATACCTGTGATGAAAATCTAAATTATTGCATCGAACTCATCGAAAACGTTGCCAAAGTGCAGGCACAGCTCTTCGGGATTCTCACAGTGACAGCCCAAGAAGGTAAAAGCAGCTTCTGCCTCCCCACCCCTTAAAGTCTCTCCTTTCTTGTTTGCTGTGTGTGTGTGTGTGTGTGTGTGTGTGTGTGTGTGTGTGTGTGTGTGTGTGTTCTGGCTGAGATCCCTCCCCCACCCCACTGATCTGCCCTGTACATTCTCTTAGGAGGACAGACCGAGGGCGTGGAAACAATCAAGGGTCGCCTTTTGCCTTTGCTGGAGACTTCTTTCAGTACTGTAAATGTGTTAAAACTTGGGGAGAACAAGGAACCCTCTGCGCAGGTAAGGATGCCCAAGGGCGATGCAGCATAATAAAATTAGAACTTCCAAGATAGGAAAATTAAGCAGAGTGTCCTCACTTAGGCCTGGTACTGGAAACATCCGTAGGACAGTGTCAGTTTCTAGACAGTTGGAACACAGATTGGAAAGACAATATGTACCATATAAGGTATCTGTCCCATTATGTTTCCTGTTGTCACAACAAGCTCCTCCAGGCTGGATAATATCCAAATAAGTGTATTTACTTTATACTCCTGGTGTTTGAAAGCCTAAGCAGCTTGATGTAGACTTCTGTGGTGATCCTGCAGGAGGACAAGTTTACATTGGTGGGTGGGAGGAAGTGATCACATTGCAGGATAGGAAGCCAGAACATGGGGAGGAGCCAGGCTTTTTCTGTCATAATGACTCTCTTGAGAGCTAGCCAGGGTCTCATGGGAACTTTTAGTTTCCCATGTTCTAATGGCTTCTCCCATTCACCTGGACACATTAGGGCCCAAGCTTCCAATCCACGTACTTTTGAGGGAGTACATGCACTCTTGTGTGTAGCCATATCGTGTACCATGGCAGCCAGTAATTTTACTTCCAAATGTTTAAATGACTTTGTATAGACCCTAATAAAAACCGGTGCACTTAGAATGCACTGTTATAAGCAGAAACCAGGAGCTGAAGGGTGAGAACCAAGCTGGACAGAAGCCTACACTCTCTGTAGAACCTGGGGAAGTTGTAAATTTTTATGTTTCCATATACTTATTGGCCACATGGGTACAATAAGTTTGCCAATTTAATGGTAGGATCCTGATTTTTAAAACGCAGTAGGTGTACAAAAACAGCTTTGCTGAGAGCCTGGCACATGGTAAGAACTCTCTCAACCTAGAGATGCCAGTTGTCACTAATATTTTTTGAGGACATACACTGATTAGAGTTTTACTTCCTGTAGGCGTTATTCTTGCTTAGGAGCATGCTTTAAATCTTTTTATTCTAGGAGTAGAGATGATGCAGGAGGATGTTTTAAAGCCTTCACTTAAAGTCAAGTCATAATTTATATACAGTGAAGCCCACAGTAGATGAGTTTTGGACAAGGAACACAAAGCTCATTCCTGTACTAACATACAAACTATCACCAGCCTCTGAGCCTGCCTTCAGAACAGCCAGTGAGGGTTCTTGCTGTAGAAGTTCACATAAATGGAGTCATGATCTTTTGTATGTAGCTTCTTTTGCTTAGTACGGTTTTCGTCATCTGTCCATGTTATTTTTCATGCCCATACTACTTTTTCTTTTCTTTCCAGGACACGTATTATAGAGATAAGGGCAGAGATACTGGTTTTCGGGATCAGGACCAACAGCAATTAGATACTGAATTCGTCTCAGACGGTCAACAAAACCAGGTTCAAGACGAGTAAGAGGAATGCAAGTTATCTTTTTTTCAAACAGAATTGTTCTAAAATTAGTTACGTTTTAAGTTTGGAAAGAGAATAACGGATCATGTAAAATTAGGGATTTGTAAATAGCACGTGTGTGTGTGTGTGTGTGTGTGTGTGTGTGTAGGGGAGGAGGAGAGGGAGGGGGAGGGAGAGGCAATAGAAGGTGTGGGGGGAACTTAATGATTGAGTTGGTACCTGGGTATCTACACTCTGTGATCCTTGGTTCTCTACCTCCATCTCTGTTGCTACCTCAACAGCTCGTATTTTAATTAAAGACCATTAGATAATAATCTGTTATCAGAGAATTGTAGCAGGGGGAGGAGGATGAAGGAGAGTGAAAGATGAAGAGGAAAATAAGTGGAGCAGGGACCCCAGTATCAGTCACTTTTCTAGGTACTGGGACAGAGGACCCAATAGGAAGTGGTTTAAGGAACGTAGGATCTATTTTGGGGAAATGCATCCCATCCTGGTGGAGACGGCATGGTGACTGAATCAGAAAACAGCTGCTGACATTGCATCCAGTCAAGAGGTGGAGAGTGATGAAAGCTAGGCTCAGCTCTTTCCCCTTTTTGTTCAGTTTGGCAGCTAGGCAACTGTTCCCAACTTCAGTTACCCAATCTAGATAATCCCTCACAGCATGCCCAGAGGCTTATGTCCCAGTGGGTTTGCATTTGTTTTTTTTCCCAATATGTAGACCATGGCTGGTCTGGAACTCACTGAGATCCACCTACCTCTGTTTCCTGAGCTACAGGATTAATGGTGTAAAGGTATATGCTACTACACATATGACTTATCTTCTAGATCTGGTCGAGACCCACAGTATCTATCTATTATCCTCTTTTAGAGGAGCATTTATGCTTTACTGAGAGAACTGTAAACTTAGTCAAGGTTTTGGAATAACTAGCTATTATATATACACATATATAATATAACATAGTATGCTAATATATAATAATATATGTATATATACTTAAAAGTTAGGCAATAGGAAAGAGTCAGATTCAGCTATGGAATCACTGCAAAGACATTTCAGACTTTGAGTCTGAACTTGAGGAAGGTAGGCAACTTATATGGGACACCATTCGACATGCTTAATTAAAACAATGAAACTCACCCCACAGCATCTGCTTCATTCTTACCATGGGCAGGACAGTGAGAAAGTCAAGGATGGATACTTTGCGACTCAATCTTGTTCTCTGGTGGGATTTCCTTTTTTCCTCTCTGCCTGGAAAATCTTCCATTTTGCTTAATAATAATTTGCATAATAAAATAGTACAAATCTTCTTCTCAAATGCATAAAATGGAAATAGAAATATAAAGGTGATCAGGGCAGTGGTGGTGCACACCTTTAATCCCAGAACTCTGGAAGCAGAGGCAGGAGGATCTCTGTGAGTTTGAGACCGGCCTGGTCTACAAGAGCTAGTTCCAGGGTAGGCTCCTAAGCTACACAGGGAAACCCTATTGCAACCACCCCCAAAAAAGTCATGTTAGCTCAGTGTTCATCATTTTGACATACTTTACTCTAGATGCTGTGTGTGCTTGTACACACACCTATGCATCTGTAGTAGGCAAATGTACACTCACACAAGCTGAGTTCCTCTGAAAGATTCTCATGTATTTCAGCTCGTGTTAGCCGATCCATCCATTTGCCACTTCTTGGTTAGATGAGTTTATCACAGTACTCTTTGTGTAAAGTGTCTATTAAATTCCAAGAGTCACTTCCCTTCTGAGTTGGTTTGCCTCTTGGATTCTTCCCTGCTCTATTCTTAGGCATCCCAAAGGTGAGTCACTTGGGTATTGCACTGTCCTGTGGTCTTTGCTGGCCTTGGTTCCCTCTGGGCACTAGTGTCTTATGTTTGTGGGTTCTGAGTCAGGGCTTGTCCAGTTCAGTTTCCTAGCAACTGCTTCAAATAATGATGGCTCTCTGGTTTCTCTAGTTATAAGGGAAAGCTTTGAGAATTTGTTGCATTTTGATGTCTGCCAGTACAGGTAGGGTCAAGATTTCCTGCTTTCCTTTTGTGTGTTACATGGGTCTTCCACCACTCTTAAGGGGTGAGAAGGACCAGGAATCCTGGTTGTCTTCAACAGTGTTCTCTTGTTGTGAAGAGGCCATGACCATGGCAACTCATCACTGAAAGCATTTAATTGGGGCTTGCTTACAGTTTCAGAGGTTTATAGTCTTGTGTCAGCACGGTGGGAGGCATGACAGCATGCAGGTAGACATCATGTTGCTGGAGAAGTAGCTGAGAGTTCTATACCCAGATCTGCAGATAGCAAGAAGAGAAAGACACTGGGTCTAGCTTGGGCTTTTAAAACTTCAAAGCCCACACCTTATGGCACATTTTCTCCACCAAGGCTGAATCTACTTCAAAATGCCACGCCTCCTAATCCTTCTAGGTAGTGCTACTCCCCGATGACTAAGCATTCAAATATATGAGCCAATGGGAGTCAATCTTACTCAAACCACCACACTGGTGAATGCATATTTTTTTGTTTTTTGTTTCTCCAAGACAGACTTTCTCTGTGTAGCTCTGTAGACCAGCCTGGACTCAAACTCATAGAGATCTGCCTGCCTCTGCCTCCCGAGAGCTGGTATTAAAGGTGTGCACCACCAATGCCCAGCTGCTTATTTTTTTAGGCTTTTTCTTTGGAAAATGCTTCCAGGATGAAAATTTATAAGAATAATGTCAACAACACCCAGCCCACCCTCTCATGCCACATGTCCCATCTACTTTATTACTCCTGATTGACTGGTATTCCTTCCAGAGACCTTCATGCTCACATGGAGACAGTTACTGCCATGTCCCCATTTTGCTTCATTTTGTTTAGTACCTCTTTGGCTCTTATTCTGTTTTTATTTAAGATATTCCAGATGATGGAGTCTGGGTACTCTGTGTCAGAAATTTGCTCAAAGAATCACATCAGTGCATCACAAAACATTAACATAAAATGTATTTATCTGACTAAAGCAGCTTCTAGTTCAAGAATGTATCTCTAGTTCTTATCTAGTCCTCATATTATCCAAATGTGCGAAATTAGTACTGTGCTTGCCTGTGTGTAGTTGCACATGTACATTCGGGCTATATGCAAGGAGGGGAAGTACTTCATCATCTCTCTCTGCACTTTTCCTCTTGGTTCATTTTCTTTGCTACTGTTGATTTTCTTCGGTTTCTCTTGATAAAAAATCTTTCCTCCCATATTTACCTTTAAAATCTGTAAAAGATTCAAGTTTTATTAGAACAAGCTACTTTCACTCTGCAAAGAGCCATATTAAGTCATTTCAGACTGTAGACAGTTTGCTTGTAATTCATTCCTTTCCCATCTCATCTTTCACAAAGATGCGTGTGACAGGCACTGCCTGAAGTGATGAGGGGGAAGAGGAATGACGTAGTTTGTAGCTTATGGCATGGATGTGAGATAAACATGAATGGCACTCGGTGGAAGAGGGCACAAGGAGCTTGAAGGTGTGTCTGGTGCCATGTGGAGTGGGGGGGCAAGATGGAGGTGGGCTCACATTTTAGGTGGCGACTGGTTGGTTGCCTGGGTTGTGTGGGGTTGGTAGAGATTCTTCATACATTTATTTCTCAGTCTGCTTTATTCTCTAGGTGAAGATCTCTGTTTGTCAGATTTCCAATGCTGTGACAAACTACCTGAGATACATAACTCAGAGGGAGAAATGGTTGTTTTGGCTCGTGGGTTCAGAGATCATGGTCTCTGGGCCCCTTCACCTTGGGACTGATGAGGCAGAATACCATGGCAGGGAGTGCACAGTGAAGTAAAATACCTAATTTCATTCTGACTGGGCAGCGAAGAAAGAAGGGACAATGTCTGTGTCCCCCTGAAGGCCGTGCTCCTGTGTTTTGTGTCTTCCAAGCAGGTCCCATGTGCTCCCGATAGCATTTCCAACCAGGTGTCAAGCCTACCACGCTTGACCTCTTGGCACACATTACAGATTCAAACCATAACAGGATCCCAGTGTTATTTTTTAGTCTATTTCTTTTCACCAAAAGACTTGTACTCTCTAGTCTCAGGATTACTGTGATGAAACGGCCTAGATCTTTCATAGAAGGCAATCCACAGATGTGGTGGATCCTTTGTGAACCTGTGAGGTCTCTCTGTAGACAGTTTGCTTATTTATTCATTCATTTACTATCTCATCTTTCACAAAGATGTGTGTGACAGGCACTGCTTGAAGTGACGAGGGTGAAGAGGAATGATGTCGTTTGTAGCTTATGGTATGGCAGCTCTGTTGAGAGCCATTGGTCTTCATCCAGTGTTATCCACCTCATCTCCACTCGCTAAATTTAAATTCTCTAGTCAGAGGAAGATGATGTGGCTTGATCCAAGTTAAGAGGGTCCTGGATATCAATTTTGATCAAGCCATTTGGAAAATTGTGCTTCGTAAGTGATAGAAATCAGTAGCACAGAGCCATGAGGTATGTGTATGAACTACTTTTCTGAACGCTGTGACCAAATATTTACCGAAAAGCAATGTAAAGGAGGCAGGATGGTTCAGGCCATATAGTCCACCATGACAGGGAACCTATGGTAGGAGGACCAGCTCCTGCCTGCAGCAGCAGGAGGCTTCTTGCTCATATACTGAAGGATTGCAGAAGAGAAAAGGGAAGATTGATGCTGTGCTGGCTTTCTTCCTTTGCCTAGTTTCCTCAGAAGTATATGGTGTTGCTGTCCACATTAGAGAATATCTTTCTCTCTCAGTTAATCCTCTATGGAAGCCCCTGTGCAGATAAGATCCTAACAGAGTGCCTTAGATGATTATCCATCTATCAAGTTGATTCAACTGTCACGAGCTGTTGAGATGGTTCAGTAGTTAAACAGTGTTTTCTGTCAAACCTAATGACCTAAGTTCCCTGCCTGGAAGGACAGAAAATGACTCTCTCAAGTTGTCCTTTGACCTCCATGAACAGTGTAACTAACACCAAAAACTGGTCCTAAAAAAGCAGTGACTTCCTGACCAGAAGGCTCATGCAACTCATTTGTGGGAAGAGTTTGAAGCTGCAGGCTGGAGAAAGCCCTAGAATTCTGTAATCAGAACTTAATGGCTCTCTTGGAGATCCGAGGATCTCCGAGGATCAGAATGGAGATATGAACAGTGTGAACTATAGAGGCATGGACGGTATCAGCTCCATGGCATGGCATGGCATGAATGAGTACACACACTGTAAAAAGAGAATTTAAAAAAGCAACCATCACTAATCCAACTTGAGTCAGCCTGACACCCAAGCACACCACTTTAAACCATAATATCATATCCTGGCACCAATAGCCTCATGCTGACTTCAAAGGGCAAAATGCATTTAGTTCATCTTCAGGAGTTCCCAAAGACTTAAGACTTCTAGAATTATTCAGAAGTTCAAAGTCTTTTCTGAGATTCCAGGAGCTCCATCCACCCATATAAAACAAACCAAAAAAGCAAGTTCCATACTTTCAATATACAGTGACACAGTAAACGTACCCATTCCTTAAAGGTGAACTGAAGCATAGACAAGAAAGATCAGAGCAGAGCAAGACAGACCTAACAGTTGAAGCAAACCCTGGGCTCCATGAGTGGCATCTGGAGTTCTTGTGGGATTATCTAGACTGCAGTGGCTTTTGGGTCAGCCCCACTTTTCTGGAGTCTTCCCACAACAGAAGCTGCGCTCTCAGTTTTGTGCGCTCTGTCACCAACCCTGATGCGCATCGCCTGCTTTCACTGTTTTTTTTTTCTGGATCCTTGGTGTCTTATCATTGTGCCTCTCTCATTCTAATACCTCACATGCCTGCAATGCAAAGTTCTTCCACATCTTGAGATGTAGCCCAGAACCCTTGGACCATAGTGCAACGTGCTGTGTGACTTCTCGCTGAACCCGGGAAAGCACTTCCTTACTCTGCTGTTTTTCTGCACCTCGAAGGCCCTATCTTTTCAGGCACTCTCCTTTCAAATGAATTTGCATGAACATGCTGAGAACTATTGTTGGGATCCTGTCTTCTAGGCAATACCCGAAGTTTCTTTAAGGTGCTAATGTGTTTAATCTCTCCCTGCCTAGGCTTCGACTTAAACTGGGTCCAATTCTTTCCCCACTAAACTACACACTTCTGTTTGCAGCCTTATCCAGGTTCACACAGTTCTTCAGCAAAAGACACACTTTGCTGTCTTCACGCTCCATCATTCCCTTTCACTTGTAAATCTGGCAAGTGTGGTGAGCAACAGCCACAGCATCTGGATACTATGCTGTCCTGAAATTTCCTCTGCCAAACAAATGATGCACTGTTTTTAAATTCAACCTCAGGGCATGGGCAGAGCGCAGCCAGATTCTTTGCCAGAATGACATGAATGGCTTCTACTCTACTCCAATTCCCAATGAAGTTCTGTTAGTCTGAAACCATGTGAGCGGATACCGTCCATGCCTCTATAGTTCACACTGTTCATATCTCCATTCTGATCCTCGGAGATCCTCGGATCTCCAAGAGAGCCATTAAGTTCTGATTACAGTTCTCCAGCCTGCAGCTTCAAACTCTTCCCACAAATGAGTTGCATGAGCCTTCTGGTCAGGAAGTCACTGCTTTTTTAGGACCAGTTTTTGGTGTTAGTTACACTGTTCAATGCTGTGACAAAAAACCTGATATCCTAGTTAGGGTTTCTATTACTGTGATAAAACATCATGACCAAAATCAGCTTGGGGATGAAAGGGACTTATTTAATCTTACTTGTAGTACATAATCCAGGGAAGTCAGGGCAGGAACTCATGGCAGTTTCCCTAAAGATATGGACTGATGCTGAGGCCTTGGAGGAGTGCTGCTTTCTGGCTTGCTCCCTGTAGCTTGCTCAGCAGGCCTTCTTTTCTACTACCAAGGGCTTCCTACCTAATGGTGGCACAGCCCTCAATGAGCTGGGCACTCAGAGAGCAATCAACAATCAGAATGAACCACAGGCTAACCTGTAGGTCAATCTGATGGGTGTATTTTCTCAGTTGAAGCTCTGTCTTCCCAAATGACTCTGACTTGTGTCAAGTTGACATAAAACTAACAACTATACCTTACTGGATGAAACTTAGGGGAAAACATTTATATTGGCTCTTAGTTTAGGGGGGATATAATCCATTACAGAGAGGAAGGAATAATGGAGCCATTGGAGGCAGTTTGCTCATGTCTTCATGGATCAGAAAGTAGAGACAGGAGAGTGTTGGCTTTCAGCGGCTCTCTCTCCCACCCTCCCCATTAGTCATCCGGTGGGATGCTTCTGACTCTATTAAGGGTCATTCTCCCTCTCTCAAGTTAATCTTCTCTGACACACCTCTAAACACCTATCTTTCCAAGGTGTTTCTTAATAGAATCAAGTTGGTAACCATAATTAACCGCCATGATGGACAAATGACTATTTTTATATTGAAAAAGTACTCGAAAAAGAAGTGAAGCCCCACAGTGAAAAACAGTGAGAATAGGAATTGGTACTTAGTGGAAAATGGAGAGCTTACATAGAGAGGCTACCTGGGGACTGGATGGGCAGGGTAGATGATGTGAGAGGATGGAGTAGGAGGAACTGAGTTTCTTTATCCTTTATTGTCTAATGTTAGTTCTTTTAGGGTTAGCTCTGTAATCTCTCTGCATTTAACTGAGCAAAGGGATGCCAGCATGCTTCTGTTTGAGTCCATTGTAAAGTCTACAGCAAGGGCTGAGGGCTGAGAATCTGAAGGTGTTTATGGTGAATTTATCACTCAGGCCAGGAGTTCCCTAGAAAATCTAGGCCTTGAGTTGGAAAGTCTGCCAATTTGGGAGAGTCTGGTTTCAGTTACTGATTTCTCTTACAGTCTGGGTGACCCTGGAAAGAATGTTGAAGGAACCAAGAACAGATCAACCATATCCCTCGTGGCTGCAGAGGAGGAGATACATCAGCTGAAAAGGCAGTAAGAAAAATTATAAACAACCCATAGAATCTCTGCAGCTGCTGCTGAATCACTGGGCTTAGTAACTCTTCAGTCTTCTAGGACACGCCCAAGACTTCTCGGGATGCTGTTATGGTTTCCACTTCTTTCTCCGCCTGCCTCATGTTGATCTCTCGCATCCCGGTTGGTACACCACCTGGAATTCGTGGGTGTTACTGCCCAGCTGTCTTCTGCCATTTCCAGTGCACCTTCAAATCCTTCAGTGCTTCTGGGTTTCACTACCTCCTAATCATCCCTTCTTATTTTCTTTCCTCTTCCACTTTTGTCATCTTCACCACCACACGTTCTCAGGACTCTGGCTTCTGTTTTACAGTGGTCACACCACTTTGGATCTTAATGAAGATGTCAGTTTTGTTTCTAATGTTTTTATTTTAGTGCTGCATTATTTTTAGAGGTCCATACCCCCAGCTAGCCTTTACAGTCTTCCTTTATACTCTGTTCAAGAAATGAGCTAATGAGGGTAGGGGGTTAAAGGGGTTATACCAGTGTTGGACTATGTCCTGAAGGTGAAATAGTTTTGGAAGTTTGTGCAGTGATGCTGAGTCCTGTTGTAAAATACTCTACTGTTCCCAGGGGATTCACACACATGGCCTTTCTTCAGGGAGCTTCCCACTTGTCCACTGTAGAAGTGGGTTGAATCCCTATCTCTGGTTTTGTTCTTTACTCATTGTAGGTGTTCACATATATTTCCACAGGAAATTTTCTGTGCAATGATGGTATGCTGGGTGCCAGCTGTTTCCTTCCTTCCTTTCTTCTTTTAGTGGAAACGCTCCTTCTTCCTTTTCTAATCCCTTCCTTATCTCTTAAAAAAAGTACTTCATTTTTTCCACAGCATTTCCTTTCTTTCTCATTCCCATTTCTTTGTCTTGGTTGTTAGGCTTAAGACTCTTCAAGCCCAGGAAGATGCCCGCCATAAGAACTCAGAGGGTCGTCGCTCTGAGGCTTCAAAATCTGATCGCCGAACTTCGAGCAAACGGGCCCAAGAACCACGGGGCACAGACCCACGGAGCCAAGAGGTGATGTCCGGCTATGAGAAACATCTCCAAAATCTGAAGGATGAGATAGCTGTGTTGTCTGCTGAAAAGTCCGGTCTCCAGGGAAGGTCTGACAAACTCTCACATATTCTTTCATTTGCCTTTTTGTTTTTTTCCCTTTTTCTTCCTTAGTTAGTAGCTAAAGCCTGGATTGTAGGGAGAGGATGACACTGTGAAATCAAGCCCCCAGGGTAGCTTCAGTATGTAAAAGAGTTATTTTCTTCAACTGCACCCTTCTTTCCAGGAAAAATGACTGAGAGCTTAAGAAGGTGATGTCTTGGTCTTAAAACCAGGCTTGCATGAGCTGGCTCTTCAGTGGATAGTACATGTTGGAAGAATGTTCCATAAGCTGGGGATCTTTCCCCAGAAGCCCAGGAGTCCTGTGTCCAGTGACTGGAGGTGGTGGTTCATCTTACAGCACTACATTGTCCCCCTTGAGTCACAGCCCCATTTTGTAACCAAGACTGGCCTGCAGTGCACTATATAGTCAGCATTGACATGAGTTTTGCAATCCTCCTGCCTCAACATCTTGAATGGTGTGACTCTAGGTATGAACCACCACACCTGACTGGAATTTCTTCTTTCCTCTCTCACTCTGTTGATGGGCCGTGCAGAGGCTATTTTCATGAAATCCCTCCATTCAACACAATGGGGCAGATAGTGTTAAGTGAAGACAAAACAGCTACGTCTTCACTTACTTGCTCTAATCCCCTCTCCCCTCTGGCATCCCCTATTGATGTCATTGTTGGGCTCCCAGCTCTCCCCGTTTGCCTAGATGTTTCCTGAGTCCTTCATTTGTGGAGGCTGTCCTCTGTGCTGTACCTATATTGACTGGTACTGAACAGTCAGTGTGAGTGGTGGAAGTATTTGCCCCATGGCAATTGGCAACAGCAGGAAGGAAGGTGGCAGTCTTGACTCAGAGTCCTCTGACTGGATGACTGCTTCAGCAGGCTCCTTGCATAGTTCTGTCTGTAAGACTTCTCTTTGGGGCCTCATTGCCTTGGGACTGACTAGTCTGATATCTAATAGTTTAGTTTGCTCTGGATAGCAATCCAGTTTCAATCATAAGGCCCTGAGAAGTACTTGTATGCTGTGTTAGTACTCCAAGGTCAGTTTGAGAAACTGCAGCATTTGACTTGTATGCTAACTCCAGCCTTCACTTGGTTGGCTTTACCTCCAGATGGTCCTGAGAGCTTCCAGTTTCCCCTCTGTGAAGTGGCCAGCAGTCAAAGCTGGAGACACAGAGTGACTGAAACTATAAAATGAAGTGCTCAAAATGAAAGTGCTTCATGAATTCTAACTCACTAATTTATGGGTATTCTTTCTCATTTCTGGGGGCCTTTGGAGACAAAAATGCCTCCCACTGGGTCATCCCCACATACTCTCCCCCCACCACATATAAGAGGTGGTATGGTGCTAGTGTGTCATCTGTGAAATGTATGGGGAGAAGCCTAGGAGCTCAGGAAGTCTAGGAACAAGGGAAGAGTGAATCACAGTCTTGCCCAGCAGATTCCCCGTTCACCCACAGGTCAGCCAGGAGCCGGTCTCCTAGCCCTACTTACCATAGCAGCAGCCGCAGCCGCAGCCGCAGCCACAGCCGCAGCCGCAGCAGGTCTAACAGCCCCAACACCGCCGTGGTCAAGGTCAGAAGCCCGTCCCCAAACCGGTCCAAAATGTCCAGCGTGGCTCGCAAAGCTGCTCTCCTGTCCCGATTCAGCGACGCCTATTCCCAGGCCCGCCTGGACGCCCAGTGCTTGCTGCGGCGTTGTATCGACAGGGCAGAGACGGTGCAGCGGATCATTTACATCGCCACAGTGGTAAATGCAACATCTGCAACTGGACTTCGGGTCCTTGGGGCAGTGGGAGGTTGATTGCCAAGTGAATGGTGCAACCATAAAAGGCCGGTGTTTCCTGAAGTCCCTGGGGAGAGGGGGATTCCAGTCTCCCCATCTGTCCTCTGCCTCGGTTCCTTCCCATCTTTTCATTATATATACTCAGGAGCTATTTGTTGTTTCATGACTGCAAATTATCACATATATGAACATTTATGTTGACCAGACATGTATTGCAGTGTCCATCACCCAACACAGGACTATCTCAAATGGGTCCATGCTAAACTGACTGATAGTGTACCTTTTGCAGTATGTGACTATATGAGCAAGCGTATAGTAGGGCTTTTGTTGTAAATGATTATTATTCATTTGTCTTCTGCCAGCCACAGAAAACTAGAGGATGAATTCACTCACTCACTCTTCTGCCAAAGTTATTTATGAGTTACTAAAGCTGCTATTTGAGTACTGCAAATTAAAAATATATAAAAATATAATCGTTGGTTTCCAAAGGGAATATATTTGTCCTGTGGGTGGATGCCACCTTGAGATCCCATTATAACAACAAACATGAAGAAACAATAAATACAAAGCATCATGCTAGTATGAGTGCAGACACAATCAGAAATCCTGGATCTATTCGTTTATGTCAAAGGCCAGCAAACTATGTATACGGGTCCCATCTGGCTTGTTCCTAAAACATTGCCCAGAAGCTAAGAACGAAGGATGGCTTTATACTTTTAAAGTATAACCAGTGACAGAAATGGTAGCAAGTGAAACCTAAAGCATTTACCACTTGGTTCTTTATAAGAGAAGCTTACCAGGCTCTGGTTATGCAACGAAGAGTGACCTGGTTAAAGCCGCTTTGTGATTCAGCTGAAGTGATTTGGTCAGAGCTTGAGAAACCAAGTCTCATCAGGGTTACCACATACCAGGTATGGGATAAAGGCTTGTTGAGTTGGTGGTAGAAATCTGGAACAGGCTGTTTGCTCTTAACGTGCTGGCCAGTACCACACCACTGCTGTGTGCCCACAGCACAGGACTTAGGTCCTTGGTTCTGCATCGTCCTGCCTTTTGCACCCAGAGTCACCAACACAATGCTCACTTGTCCTAAAATTAGTGTGTTATCATATCTATTTCTACAAATGTTTTTATATTATGTCACAGGTCAAAACCACGTTTGACCAACCATGTTATCTGAACGCCGGTTTGATGTTGCATTCTGAATCTTTCCTGGTTCCTTCCTTTGGGTCTTTCCATCTCCTCCCCTCATCAGATAAACTTGCTGTGTTTTCATGTACAGGAGGCCTTTCATGTAGCTAAAATGGCGTTCAGGCATTTCAAGATCCGGGTGAGGAAGATGCTGACACCATCGCACGTGGGGTCAAATGACTTTGAGAACACAGTCTTGGACTACATCGTTTGTCATCTTGATCTATATGATTCTCAAAGCAGTGTTAATGTAAGTGCTGGGTCTCTTTTGAGGACTAGCATGTGGTGATGACATATCGAATACTGATAATTTAGGAATCTGCCTGTTGTTTGGTATTATGTCTGTGTGGTGGAAGACAACAGCATCCAATTTACCCTGCACAATCAGTCCTTATTAGCTGCTTTTCTTTTTGCAGGTGTGCAAACAGTGTATGTGTGTGTGTGTGTGTGTGTGTGTGTGTGTGTGCTGCATGTGTCTGTGAGGGTACACACATCTGTGGATGTCAGAGGTTGATACTGAGTATATCACTTGATCACTCTCAGATTACTAAGTCAAGGTCTTTTGTTGAGCTTGCCAATTTGGGTACGTTAGCTAGCCAGGTTGTTCAGGGAACCTTCAGTCTCTGTCTCTTCAGTGCTAAGACAGTCACCCTGAATTTTCGTGGGTGTGGGATTTGAACACAGGTCTTCATGCTTGTGGTTAACTCTTTACACACTGAACCATCTCTTTAGCTTCTTACCCAGATGTCCTGTGGGGAAATGTTCTGAGTTTTCTACTCACATCCTTTAGGTGGGCCTTTGAGATTGGGAGTTGAAATATTTTAGTTCCTAAGAGCAAGGACTCCGGCAAATGAATGTGGATTTGACCTTGACTTTGCCATGTGACTACTGTGTTGTCTTCCACATTTATTTACACTCTCAGTGGTCTGGTTTCCTAATCTCTAAAGGGGGGCACCAAGGATCATTATCCCACAGAGTTATTGTGAGGGTCAAGGAGGCGGGCCATTTGTCTAGCACAAGACTTGGTGCATAGTAAACACTTGATAAAAGCAAGCTATTTTACTTACTCTATAGTGTAGCAGGGTGTGGTGATAAACTATGATTTAATGAAGATGGCCTGAAGGATCAGAATGCAAAACCAGTCACACTAGTTAGCCATAAAGAACAGGCAGTGGTGGCACACACCTTTAACCCCAGGACCCAGGAGACAGAAGTAGATGGATCTCTCTGAGTTCAAGGTCACCCAGGGCTACATTAGACTGAATCAGTCTAGAAGAGAAACAGCTTATGCCTTTAATCCCAGCATTAGAGAGTATATAAGGAGAAGGAGATCAATGCAATCTCAGAGCAGTCTAGGATTCTGAGACTTGGTTGAGAGCAGTGCAGTATAGAGATGCAATCTGAAGTTCGGTGGATCACCCCTTTGGTCTGAGCACTCTCTAGGGGCCAGATGCTTTGGTTCTCTGAACTTCAGCTTGAGCCCCAATATCTGTCTCTGGGTTTATATTATTCATGCTACAGCAGGGGACTAGCCAGAGTCTTTGGCTGGCATCTCATAATTTACTGTTGGTAAAATGCTTGTCGTGGAAGCATGAAGATCTAAGCACACACATAAACTCTGGGTGAGGTGGCTCACATCTGTCTTGCCAGAATGAGGGGTCAGAAACAGGCAGATCTCTGGGACTCATTGGCTGGCCTGACAGCCTACCTAAACCAGTGTGCTCCAAGTTCAATGAGAGACCCTGTCTCAAAAATAGATTGAGAGCAACAGAGGAAGACATCCATCATTAACCTGTGGATTCCACATGTACCTACATTCATATGTGCACACATCCATATGAACACTCATGAACTAGTAAACATGATGGTCCTCTTTAGTTTTTAAGAGGGATTTTTCTTGTTTGTTCCTGCTATGTTTTCTTCTTTCCCAGCATCCTTCTCGTCATAGCACACCTACACCCTTTTCTGGATTAACTTATTTTTCATTCACATGCTGTTTCCCATCAGTCACAACTGGTGTTGGGAGTCCTCTGGATGTCAGAGCTTCTTGCCATAAGTTGCTAGCCAATTGACACCATCGTTTGCTTTTCAGGATGTGATCCGTGCCATGAACGTCAACCCCAAGATCTCATTCCCTCCTGAAGTTGACTTCTGTGTCCTCAGTGACTTCATCCAGGAGATATGCTGCATTGCCTTCGCAATGCAGTCCTTAGATCCACCACTTGACATCGCGTTTGGGGCCGATGGAGAAGTCTTTAATGATTGCAAGTAAGAGACGCAGGCGCAGGCACTAGAAGATGCTTGCTGTGTCTGCTCCCTGGGAGGATGAAGGGGAAAGAACCCTAGGTAGAGAAATCAGTGGCCACTCCCATGCCATGAGAGTCTCTGTACCACCATCTGGACCCCCTTGTGGGCTCATTCTTCATTGAACATATTAGCTTTGGGGAGACCTAAGGAGTTGCCTGGAGCCTGGCTGGATCATTGGTAGCAAAAAATGCATTCTGTGAATACAAACATAGTTAAAATTGTATTTTTATTAGTTATATTGTGTGTGGCATATACATGCGTGTGCAAATGGATGCTCCAGCAGAGGTCAAAAGTTGACTTTCAGAGACACCAATTCTTACTGCATGATTTAGACCAGGTCTCTCAAAGTGTGGTGTGTGCACAACCAACCTCAGAAGCCGTGCAGACATTTGTTAGGGATGCACACAGCTGCACCACCGTGTGTGCTGTTTTCCGCAGTGGTTCCAGCATGGGCCTCGGGAGGCTGCATTGCGTGCATACTGATGTGCCAGCTCTTGTCGAGAACCATTAGATGCTATCAAATTTCACACAGTGAATAGTCTTCTAATAAAGCACACAATGTGGAAATAACCGGGAACATTCTTTGAGATTCGGCAAGACCTTATCCATAGCTGGAGATTACCAAGATAGTGGTTGAGAAGGCCGGTTCTGGCCTCAAGCTGCCTAGATTTAATTCCTGGCTCTACTTATCCACTGTGTGATCTTGGGTGTATTGTGATATATATGTGCTATTGGTATATATTTTTTCTGTTCTTCTGTTTTCTTCTCTTTCTAGGGGTGGGGGCTAATAGTGCATCTTCCCCATGACTGGAGAAGGGTAGCCAAGCTACAGCAGATGGAGAAGTGAGGATGATGCCAGGCGTGTAGTGAGTGCTCAGGAATATGACTCTGGGTCTTCCTCTTAGCCATAGGTCAGGATAGGCAGCTGCCCAGCATTCCTGCAAGCTTGTTGATGAGGAAGACCACACATCTTTCTCTCACCACAGGAATGGGCTTTCTGGTTGGGGTGACGCATGCTCTTGATCTTTTCTAGTGTCTTTTAGGTCATTGTTCCCAACAAGTATCCACTCCAGAATGGAGGCTTGAACATTGCCCTGCAGTTGGGTCTTTTTCCTATACAGAGATTCTTACCACCTTCCATCTTTATTTATTTCTCCTTTGGAGTATGGCTATCATCACTCAGATGGTCACCCACTTTGGTTTGTGGACAACTCTTGGGTTTCTCTGTCACATGCTTTTAAACAGAGGTAACTTACTTGTGTGCCTGGATGGCTGGTCAGTCAAAATTAAGAGTTCCTAACTGTGATTGAATGTGATTCTATTGTTGTCTCTCTGTGTCTAGAGGTTCCTATCTGTTGAGTCAACCAGCCAGGGGATGAAAATAACCAGGGAAAAAGTCTGAATATGTATCAACTATTTTTTTTCTTTGTCTTCCCTTAAACAGTATATAATAATAATTGTCATATGTTATTTATACTGTATTAGGTATTGCTAAGTAATCTATTTGTGACTTAATGTATGCAGGAGAAGGTCCATAGGTTATATAAAAATGTAACAACATTATCTATCTATCATCTATCTATCCATCTATCCTTTGTTTACCTATCTATCATGTATTTATTTATAGTCAGTCTTACTACATAGCTCAAGCTAGCCTGGAACTTATTACCTACATAAGACTGATTTCAAACTCAATCCTTCTGCCTCAGCCTCTCAGCACCCTGAGCATTTTCTAGACTTGCAGCTCTTATAATTCTGAAAAGACTAGAGGTGGGATGAAGTTTGTTGACATGTTCTTAGCAAGTCTGTGTCAGAAGCCAGCTGTTCCTGGTTTCTGTTCTGAGAGCACATGTGCATCTCCTCAACCACAGAATGAGGATCCGAATCCCGTTTAGATGTAAGCCTAGTCAAGAACGAACTTTTCAGTTGGGTTTCCCTTAGTTATGCTACAAAACACTTAGCTTCCAGCTGGTGGCCATACCCCCGTGGGAGAGTGCAAAGCTCTGGGTTTGATCACTACCATGGAAAAGCAGTTTCTTACCATCTTTGTTCTCTTATGCATTCCCACAGGTACCGCCGCAGCTATGACTCGGATTTCACTGCTCCCCTGGTCTTTTATCACGTGTGGCCTGCTCTCATGGAGAATGACTGTGTCATTATGAAGGGAGAAGCTGTCACCAAGAGAGGGGCTTTTGTACGGTGGCCTTGCATAGTGACAATTCATCCCCAGTGTTTGATTCACAAGTTCGAGAACATTTATAAACCCAAAGATTCTATAAAAAGAAGTTGATAGAATTGTTTGATAATTCTATCATACAAAGGAGAAGGAAAAACAGCTGTCCATTTTTTGGACTGTACCACAATTCTTTGTAATTCCCTGGCAGTGACTTCATTGTTGTTCTTCTGTCTAAAGATGGAGTTAGCCACAGCTCATTTATCTTTTCCATCTTGGAGATATTTTGACATTCCTAATTCTCCATTTGGGGGAATTGTGCATGTATTCTGTCTTCCTCTCCTTGGTATGATGTCTAGGGAAGGGAAAGATGACAGAAAATGCTGCAGAGGATGGGGAGAACGGAGCCTCTTGACTTTGGAAGGGGGCTTCCTATAGCTCCTGTTTATAGATGGGTTTGAACATCTTAAAAATTTAACCTTCCCAAATGGAGTCTTTGTGTGTGTGTGTGTGTGTGTGTGTGTGTGTGTGTGTGTGTGAGGGGAGAGAGGAAGAGGGAGAGGAGAAAGAGAGAAAAGGAGAGGGAGAGGAGAGAGAGGGAGAAATAGAGAGGGAAAGGAGAGAGAGAGGGAGAGGAGAGAGAGAGAGAGGAAGAGAGAGAGGAGAGATGGGAGAGAGAGAGAGGAGAGAGAGAGAGGGAAGAGGGGGGGGAGTTTGTATACTGGGATTTGTGACCACAGGGACCTTGGATAAGCATATACCATGATGTATTATTTACCCCACCCTTTCTTAGACAGAACCAGGTGAATTCTGAAGAAAACCCCTTGGTGCAGAGCAAAGCCAAGGTGGCAGTTTGGGTCCCCGTTTTCTGACTAGTGAGAGGGGAGGAGCTTTGAGGCTACACATAGTAGGGGAACAGAAAAGTTTATTTGGAATATTGGTGTTAGTTTTACAAGTTAAAATCCCATTGTAGTGAAAACTATATCCCCCAAAATGTTTTGTGTTTCTATAGCTGAGCTTATCAAAGTTGGATTTTGTCCACCTGACAACACACGTGCTCTCTGATGAACGTTTTCATGACACAGGATTCTTACCCTTAACAGTCTTTGTTAGAAGTTTTTTTTTTCCTGATGGAGTGCAGTTTGGAAGGGAGGGTCACAATTTTATTGATCATGTCAAGTAGTTATTGTCTATGGGTCTCCTCTCTCAGAGGCACACTTGCTTTTGCCCTTTTTTGTCAACACATTTAAAACAGCACACCTACCATGAGTTTGGTGTATGATTTTCTTCCTATGGACTCAGTAGCTGGCCTTTCATGGTGTTCAAGTGAGACTTATTTATTCTGTAGTGTATACGGCCTCAGTGCTTCATTTACATGGCAGATGCTTAAAGTCAACAGCCAGCCATGAATTGCAAAGGCAAATGGGATATCTAACAGCTGACCCATAAAAACACTTCTCCAAACACCAGAATGTGCATTCGCTCAAGTTCATTATGATGGGATTCTGCTGGAGAAGTTCTTGCCAAATGTGTTGCAGGAAATAATAGGAGTGTTGCTCACACTGGTGACAAGGGACCATGCTGGTGATAAGCCATATCTACTTTCACAAACTCATGACTCTTTCTCTGACTCTTTTTCTTAGTGGAGTTCTGTGCGACCTGTAACACGCTGCCGCAGCAGGAGTTTAAGTCCCATCTGCCCTCGTAACCGCATTGGATTAAGCACGGTACAGTCCTGTCTAATCATTTGTGCAGAAAACCTTCTACATTGATACTTTCCTGAGACAGCAGTGGTTGCAAATCCATAGGTAGAAAGAGAAACTTGTCCTGACACAAACCCCTAAGTGATTTTTTTCCCACATCACTATGGCTAAGAAATTTAACATTCTAGAAAGAAATTGAAGTGCTTCTCTTTTTAACTTTTCTGTTTTGGACTTTCAAGGAATGAAAGACTTATTTAAAAGTTTTGTTCTTTTCACCCTTGAACAGGCTGTTAAAGAACAGACAGCTGGACATGGGACATTTGAGTCACAGATCTGAACACAGGTCCCTGGTTTTTATAGAAATTAGTACATGAGTTTGGAGGACTTACTTAATCTAGCTTGAAATATTTTCTAAAGGACAGTGGAAGTATCAATTTGTCCCCAAAATCAAAGTAGAATAGATTAAATTAGTTTCTTCATGTATTAATCCTTGGAAAGATCACTAATCTATTTACATTATAAATTACATAAAACATTTTTGAAAACTCAATTTGCTTCCCTAAAAATATCACAGTGACTCATCACTGTTAGTTTACTCACCAAGCAGCATTTAGTTAACATCTGTTGACTGTGGGGCTGGACCAAGATAGACAGGCAACTGATCTACGGTTCCTTCAAATAGAGATTCTATGTGTGTTGGACCTTGTTCTCGAGGACAGAGCAGTGAAGGAGAATTATGGGTGGCAATACCTCACATCTCCCAATTGCCTCTGGCAGTGCGGTGGCAGAGCTTCCTCGGCAGAACCACAGAACAGTCCCGTAATAACTCAGACCCAACATCATCTCTGAGCCTACTATTCCTCCATTAGGTTCCTTCTCAAACAACTCAAAGGCCAGGTGTGTGGTGGAAGGGGAGGGCATAAAAACAATCAAATTCGGTCTTCTCCATGAATGGGTCACTGTATAGGACGATCAGTGTAATTTGAACAACTTGGCTGGATGGTCATGATACAGATCAAGCTGAGAGGGTTGATGTGGTGTGATGTAGTTAGTCTACCCCGTAAAAACCTGGAGGTGGTGAGCAAGCAACATGGAAGCTGCAGACGTGGAAAACCACGTAAGAAGTGCCAGGGAAGTGGAGAAGACTCACAGTGGACTCAGTCCTTTTGCTCTTGGGGGTTTTAGAAAACTTATTACATAAATGAGTAGGTATGAACAGGAGGTCAAAACGAGGACCATGCATTTAGTGACCTGATAAATAAAAAGGGAATCTTGGGAGCATCATGATGGGATGTCTCCCTGTCACAAGAGGAAATGGTGCGTCACAGGGGAGGGCAGTTGAAACTAGTATTAGTAGATGGTTGAACTCTGGATTCTCAGTAGAAGTTTTATTCGAGGGAGTGTCCCTTGCACTGAGTCCTGAGACATGTCTGAACTCTCTTCTCTTTATCATTCTATGCCCAGAGAGAGCCACATATATCCCAGTGTAGATGAGGACATAACATATATTCTCAAAGATGAAACTGAGCCAACTTCCCTTCTCTGCTCATCTCTCCCTTCAATAAGGGTAGGCACCTCTAAGAGGAAACATAATTACTTTGGTTGGTCTGTCTTTAGGGCCTGATTAAGGCCAGGACTCCCACAGAACAGATTCCAGTTTGGACAGTACCTATTAACCTAACACATTTAAGAGTTTACAATAGGATACCAGTGTGTAGCAGGTATCAGGGGTGAAGTCACAGTGTGGTAGTTTCTGCTTAGGGAAGGTAATAATAAGATTTGAAAAGCATTCTTTTGTGGGTGCTCAGACTTTGCTTGGTAGGGCAGGGTTTGGACATATGAGAACTTTTATAAAGAGATTTGAACTTGTGGCATAATTTTAACTCTTATTAGTTAATTATGTTAAAAAGTTTCTCTTTATAATTTTAGCTCTTACTAATTATGTTAAATGTTTTCTCTTTTCTAAGTCATTGAACCCAACTTCCAGTCAGTAATATAATTTAAACCGAATTAGATGTGTATGTACTTAAAAAGCCTAGGAAGACTCATGGGGTGCAGTGCCTCAGAGCAACTAACCGGCTAGCTTTTGTTTTATCTTATTATATTTTATTTTGTTAGCTTTTGTTGTTATCTCTCAGAAACTGTTGTTCTCCTGTCTTTCTTTCTTCCTTCCTTCCTTCCTTCCTTCCTTCCTTCCTTCCTTCCTTCCTTCCTTCCTTTCTTTCTTTCTTTCTTTCTTCTTTCTTTTAAAAGAGCACTTACTTCTCTTCTTTAAAAAAAAGATTTATTTCTTTATTTTATGTATATGGCGCTCTATTTGCATATATGCCTGCATGACAGAAGAGGGAACCCGATCTCATTACAGATGGTTGTGAGTCACCATGTGGTTGTTGGGAATTGAACTCAGTTCCTCTGGAAGAGCAGCCAGTGGTCTTTTTTATTTTATTTTAATGTTTTGATTTAATTTTACATCCCAACCACAGTTCTCCCTCCCACCCTGCCCTCCACCCTCCCTTACCTCTTCGTACTGCCCCTCACCCTTCCCCAGCAGGCAGTGGTCTAAATTGCTGAGCCAGCTCTCCAGCCCCCCTGGCTAGTTTTAAGAATCACCCATGTGCAGGTAATCTGTCCTCTGAGCTCTGTATATTGTTTAATTCACATTGCTCTTTCATATTTTCAGATATCTCGAAGTCGGAGTCCTTCTCCAATAAGATGTACATTGCCAAGTAAGTGAGACAGTCAAGATGGAGTGAGTTTTCTGCGTTTGAAATATCCTCTGTGCTATGTCACAGTTTGGAGCAAAATGACTATTCTTGGGGAATAACTTTCCATTACAGCTCGCACCATTCATTTCATTTCTGGGCCCTTTCATTGGTGGCGCCTGGGCTGCTCTCATGAGTTACAGAAGAGCAATCTCCATGGAGAGATTTAACTGCTACGTCCCTTCTCATTTAAGCACCTCCGAAGGATGTGCAAGAACGTGACCATAGTAACGAGCTGTTCATTTTTCTCCCTAGGATACTAAAGCCACCAGCCACGTTCACTTGCCACAGCCCATTGGAACAGCCAGCTTCCTCAGTGTCTCCATCCACCTGCCTTGTCTGCCTCCGATCTCACTTAACATGAAATGAAAAGGCAATTCTGTGTGTCACTCCGCACAGAGAGTTTAATGCTTTGGCTCAGTGCCTTTGTAACTCTAGGTCCATAGCAGTTCCTCTTATTTTGTAGGGGAAAATTCCATTAATTTCATAAAAACAATGATGTAGGCATATAGGATGACATTCATTTGAACAAAGTCCATTGCAAAGGTAGAGACTTCTCCCCCTAAGTACCGGGATCTTTCAGAGCAACTCTAGGAGTGACAGTAGAAGTCATTGTCCAGCTGAGTCCCAAAGGAAGGACAAGTGCTTTTATTTACAGACCAGTCATAAATGCTCTTATTGTTAGCATCAGCCTTAGCTCCCTGAAACCACAGTGTCAGTGCCTGATCCTCTCTAAAGGCTTCCAAGGCATCCATAACTCCGCCAACCCTCACTTCAGGGTACATGTAGCCAATAAGAAAATGTTAATTTGAAGGCATAGAACAGTTTGCTTGCTTCTCTCTTTGTACTTTAGCTAAGTGTCAGCACTACTAGGCCTTCTGTTTTCTGTTTTTTCTCCCTTCCCTCCTCCCTCCTCTCCCTTCTTGCTTTCCTTTCTCTTCTTGTACACAGGTACCATTTGATCAGTTCAGATCTGGATGCCTTAGCTTGAAGAGTCTTGACTTTTAATAAAACCGTTCAGTAAAGAGTGGGCAAGGACCATCCTTGAAGATAAAATTAAAACACTAAATGCTGAGTGTTCCCAGTGTCTGCCTGTGACGTCACTGGCTACGACTGTTTATGAACACCAGGAGACACCTTGTCACCCTTGGAGGTGACTTTCTGAGATAGTGGGTCATTCTTGATTACATTTCAACTAAAAGCCAGTCTTATCCAACTTAGGCAGTTACAGCATTCCTGAATGACCAATTGTGTGTTAAAACTGTATAATAGTCACTTGTGTTGTATGATGAAAGGTCTTATGTAAAATCTTACCAAATATTGAGAATGCCTCTGTATCATAAGCACCCCTTTCAAAGTCATGTGTGTTATCTAATTTGGAAAAAATTGTCTAGTTATTTGTTCTCAACCCTATTGGGCCACTTAACGTTTCTCAAGCTTCTAATTTGAGCTGTAGCCTCACAGAGAAAGCCAAACGGTGGGAAGCATCTTTTGGAAGTGTCTGTGGTCTGTGAACCCAGAGGAGGCTGGTCTGTCCTCATGGCATCTGGGTGTCGAAGGCTGGAAAGCTCTTGTTTTGCTCTCTGGGTCAGTGTGAATTTTTGTGTTATTGCTCAGCCCCTAATACTAAAATCACAGTAGAGTGCTATACTCTGATATGTCTTCCTTCCTGATTCTCAGGGTTAGTGGTGCCCCCCCCTCCTTCTCTAACCCACGAAAGTGAACCACAATCACACATTCATCAAGTAAATACTGGCTGTAGCCTGCCCCAGGCTGACCCTGTGAGAGCTGCAGCCCATGGGGAAGTCAGACTGCTGGCTTTGCTTTGTCTTAATTGCAGCTCCTCTCACCCGTTCAGGAGACCCTAGGGCCCTGCTCAACTGTTTTCATTTGCATCATCTCAATGGCTCCCCACATTAGCTAGGCACATCTGTGGACTCTACAGTCTTGCTCCAATGTTTTTTGCTTTAGAGTAAGACCCTGCCTCATTTTCTTCTGTTTCTCTTGGTACACAGTTCTGGTTCTTTGTATGAGGGGAGTGTGTGTGTGTGTGTGTGTGTGTGTGTGTGTGTGTTGTGTATTCCTGGATTTGTCCTATAGTGCTGATGATATATATGTAGAGAAAGGCCTGATTTCTATGAAGTTTAATGTCCCATTTAGCTGTATTCCTTGGTGATTTTCTTGTCATAAAGAGATGTGAATACATAAGAAATGATAGCTTATGAAAGCTGGGCTTGTGGCATACAACTGTAACCTCAGCACTTGGAGGCTAAGGCAGGAGAAGTGCCAAAAGTTTAAGGCCAGTGAGTTTTAGGGCAGCCCGAGCCACCTAGGATGGCCTCATCTCAGAAAGAAAAACACACCTAGGAAGGCCCAGTAAGTAAATGTAGCAAAGAAAATTCTACACGTCAACTTGAAGGATTTAAAATTATTATCAGGCAAATATATCTGCATGGAACACAGCTGTGGAGCAGCTGGGAGAGTGCCTCAGCTGGGGAGAACTCCATCCAGGCAGTACAGTGCTTGCCGTGTAACTCTAAGAGTCTGAATTTGGATCTTAGCACCCGTGAGGCTTAGCATGACAGTACATCTCTTTCCCCATTACTGGGAAAGCAGAGACAGGCCCACTGCTGCAGCTCCTGGTCTGCCAGTCCAGACAAACGGGTGAAGATTCATCTCAAAAATAAGGTGGAAGCACGATGAGAAAGACGCTTGACATTGACTTCTAGCCTCCTCATTCAACATGTTCATGTGAGCACCCACATCCATGTGCACACACACATAGATGGACACATCACACACACACACACACACACACACACACACACACACAGAGTGGGGGACAGAAGGAGTGTTATGAAAGGGAAGGGTAGACTAGTGTGGTAAAATACACCAGAGAATGGACCTCAGCTTACCTATAATCCTGGCATCGTTAAACAAGTTAGTTCGAGAAGGCAGAAGCAGTTCAGAGGACATCGATTTGAAGGTGCCCCACTAGCACAGCTGTTTGCTCAACTAGTTGTCTCTCTAAGTTACAGGGCATTTTCTGATCATTCTAAGTTGCTTTTAGGCACACAATATGTCCTGTTGTGGACAGAGTGCTGCCAGCATCATTCTGTAAGGCTGGAGTTGGTAGGAGATTTCTTAGTGGTATTGCTTTGAAAAACTTCATACATATAATTAAGGGTAAGATGCTATGGAACTTTGAAGAAACTAGAATTTACAAGCTGCATTAGATCATGGAACTCTGAGCCCAGGAACACATGAATAAGTACAATTTAAAATGGCATGTTAGCCCTAATACAGGAATGAGCAGTGGCCTTGAAAATACAATAGGAATAACTTTCTCATTGCAATGAAATGTAACTGAACAGTTTCACACTTGAAAAAACAGTCCAGCAGAGGTCAGTGTGAACACACTTTTCATAGTATCACCAACAATTATTCACCAAAACTGGGCATTGATTTGTCCTACTACAGGGTGAGTGACAGAGGAGCGTGGCAAGTGTACATATTGCAGATTTAATTACAAAGTGGGTATAGCACTTTTAGAATTTTAGTATTGAAATGATGTGTTAAAATATGTTGTAAAGGTACTAGAGAAGCTACTTAGTAATTGGGAAATGGCCAGAAGATCTTGAGTGTCACACTGTGAACTAAGTCCCTTAGCAACTCACTTCTTAGGTTGGGAAACTGAGGCCCTGGAGTATTACAGGGGACAAGTCCTGGAGCCCTGCCATAAAATCGTCTTGGCTCAGCCCTGTGGGTCATATGTGTGTGGTAGGATGGAACAAGCTTCCTTTGCTATCATTTGAGAAGCTTTTGCTGGTGTGTTACAGGATATTCCAAGACTTCCAGTTGCTGGAGAGAGCTTTTCACGAAGTTCTTGCAGGGTAGCATTTTAGAAACCCCGTTCCAGGTCATGCTTGTCTTTAGGATGCATTTTCCCCATTTCAGAATTAAATATGCTGCTGACTATTGATGGCCATTGTACTAACTTTTCCAAGTGAATGAAGTATCAGAGTGATGTTTTCTACTAAACACACTGGCTTAGTCACTGATCAGTGAGCATGATGGTGACAAATGGTTCTACGAGGTTGTGTGTGTTGAAATTGACACCCATCTTGAGGCATTTCAGGGGTGAAATCTTAATTCTATGATACTTAGAAGTTAGGTTTTTGGGAGGTGATTAGTATTAGGTGATAGAGTCATTAGGGGGACGCGATTCAGTCCTGGTGGCTGCAGAAGAGACATACACATGTGTCCTCACTATTTTCCACTGTGTGATGCTCTGTGCTGTCTATGGACTCTGTTAGCAAGAAGACCATCACTCCATGTGTCCCTTAGACTTTGTACCGCTAAGACCTCAGGTCACAATAAAGTATTTTATTATAGTAGCGAAAGATGTACTAATACAACCAGTTACTGAATAAAAGACCCAAATAAACAATCTCCTATTTGTGTTCCTTATACATGCTTATCTATGCTATTATATATGTGTGTACATACAATATTATATTTATACAATATATAATAATAAATAACAGTATATAATACACAATTAGATATACTATATAGTATATATTAACTACATTGCAAAACTGTATTATAACAACTATTATAAAATAAAGTTCCCCCTATTTCCAATGCTAATGCCAGAATTTATCCACCGTGTATGTTTTCCTTTATGTTTCCTACCTTTACATCCTTCATTTTTAATTTCTCTGATTTTCTTTGAATTTTTCCCTCTTGGATACAAATCCATTTCCCCTTAGATATCAGCACCTAACCTTCGATGTAAGTATGAATGAACTAAAGATTCTCATATGTCCTGGTTCATATAATCATTAATTTTACTGAATTTTCAAATAATTCCCAAGTTTAAAATTTTAGGGTATTAAAAATCAACACATTAAAAAATTTGTTGTATGTATGATAAATCTGATCTATGATTCTTCCCAACTCATTGAGTTCAATGAAAATATTAGCTCTTGACAAAAATACCTGTTTTGCACACCAGAGATGTGTTCTTGGGTTTTCCCCAAGCTTACTAAGAGTCTCCAAGGGCATTTGTATTAGCATGTCTTAGGGTTTTCATTGCTGTGATGAATACCTTGACCAAGCAACTTGGGAAGGAAAGGGCTTATCTGGCTTACACTTCCTCATCACCGTTCATCATCAAAAGACGTCAGGATAGGAACTCAAACAGGGCAGGACCCCGGAGGCAGGAGCTCAGAGACCATCTGCATACTGGCTTGCTCCCATGACCTGCTTTGTTACAGAACCCAGGACCACCAACCCAGGGATAGCACCATCCTCCATAGGCTGGGCCCTCCTCAACTGAACACTAATTAAGAAAATGCCTCACAGCTGGGTCTTAGGGAGGCAGTCTATCAATTGAGGTTCTTCCCTTTCAGATAACTCTAGCCTGTGTTAAGTTGACATCAAACTAGCCAGCACACATAAACAGGTCGGCCTAAGACCAGGCTTTAGTAACCCAACAAACAGAATGGCACAGACCCAATGTATTGCATAGATTAACAGAAAGTGCTCTGTTAATCTAAAAACCTCTGAGTGTATTCAACTATTTGTCTTAACCTGAAAATATGACAGTTCTTTTTAATGTTACTTTGTTCAAAAGTTAACCTTTCTCCATTGAATAGCCTGTGGTGATAATGTAATATAAAGTGACATTGAAGTTTGGAAACCAAAGTTGTAATAGTTCATGGCGTGACCTCTCCCTCCCTAACTAGCTGAGGCCACAGCTGGAAGAAATTCAAGGGGCTGGATTTCCTAGAGGAACTGCAGGCCTGTGACCCCTGAATTTCCCAGGGAAATATGTGAGAGAAGCCATTAGATGGCACTGTTGCTTAGGAAATGAGAGGCTTGGCAAGCCCTCAGATAATATCTACAACTTCATTCCTGGATTAACTGCTCACTAAATTTGAACAATATCTTATATTGACGGTGAATAGTCAGTATGAAAATTTAGAGTGTCAGAAGATTAATTTAGTAAGCAACAATTCCATAACACCTGATAAAGGATTTATGCATTTGATCCTCTTAAGCCTCAAAAACCAAAGCTCAAGGGGCAAGAATGGGGCAATTTCCTTTCTTTCTTTCTTTCTTTCTTTCTTTCTTTCTTTCTTTCTTTCTTTCTTTCTTTCTCTCTTTCTCTCTTTCTTCTTTCTTTCTTCCTTCCTTCCTTCTTTCTTTCTATCTTTTTTTGGGGGGGGTCAACCTAGAGTTCTTACTCAGATGCAACGCAATGGAATGTTTGGGACATCATTTTTTGATCTTACTGTTCTGGCAGAGGACCAGAGCTGCATACCCAGCACCCACACCGTGACTCACAATTGCCTTAGCACCAGCTCCAGACGATCTGATGCCATCTTCTGCCCTCCAAAGGCATCTGCACACACATGGTGAGCATGAACTCTGGAAGGCACAGACACATAGACAGAAAAGTACACACATAGTCACATGGCTTTTCTTGCCTTTCTGTATGAGTGAGAACATGTGACATTTGTCTCTCTGGATCCAGGTTACCTACTCAGTTGACTGGTTCCATCCATTTATTTACAAATTGCACTTTTATTTGTAGCAGAGTAAAATCCCACTGTGGATAGATAAGGATTCATTCTCCACTCATCAGCTGATGGATACTTGGGCTGTTTCCATGTTGCAGCTACTGTAAATAGAGTGGCAGAGGACATGGATGGCACGTGCCTTTGTGGTAGATTGTGGAGTCCTTCGGATATGTGTCACGGGCAGAGCTGGGCCATACTGGAGACCTGTTTCCGGTTTCCTGAGGAGCTGTCACTCTGATTTCCATTGAGGCTGTACCAGTTTGCACTCCCTCCCAGAGTGAAGAGGTGCTTCACCACTCCCTCCCCACCCCCACCCTCAGTCCCCACAATGCTTTCGTTAATCTTAGCCATTCTGACTGAGGTAAGAGGAAATCTAAAAGTAGTTTTAACTTACATTCCTCTGCTGAACATTTACAAAAATATCTCTTAGCCACTTGTATTTGTTCTTCTGACGCCCTCTGTCCAGTTCCATGCCCTTATTTTAATTGGCTTGCTTTCTTAATGTTTCATGTTTTTAGTTCTTTGTGTGTTCTGGAAACGACTTTTCTGTCAGGTGTAGAGCTTGGCTTACAGCAGCTGTAGTTGCCCACAAAAAATATGCACAAGATTGAGCCAGCCAACATCCAGCACAGATAGGGGAGGACTCGTGAGTCCTGACCCCTGAAGAGATCTTGACAGTTGGCAGCTTCTAGGGGACTCTGGTAGATTGATCACACTACTGGCCCCACACCCATGAGTATATGAGTGTATGAGCAGCACAAACTAGACTCATAGATTGTTTAAAAAAAAGAGAGACACACTTGGGGTGGAGTGTGGAAAAAATGGAGACTAGATCCGGGAGGAGTTGGGGTAGATATAATCAAAATACATTGCTTGTATAAATTCTCAAAGTATTAATAAAATATTAATTAAAAAAGAAGTCTTATTGAAACAGAAAAAAACCCAAATAAAACCCAAACAAATCCCTGTAAAGCAAAGTGAAGTTGCCCTAACCAAGCTGCTTAGGGATACAGCTGATATACATCGGGATCCGAGTTTCTTGTTGAAGAGAATCTGCAACCAAAGACAGAGAGTTGTAGTAGTGTTATTGCAACAGACCACCCTGTGAAAAGTGCCCCCTGGAACTGCACAGTGCCCAAGGCCTGCAATGAACCTGGGCAAGAGGAGAAAGCTTCAAGACTGGTTTAAATGACATCTTCAAAGTTCTAGGAAAGCCTTATCGAAGAAGAGACATCCCCCTAATGCACCCCTGCTCCCACAATCAAATTCTTTAAGTCACATTCTTCAAACTGGGCTTCTTCCTTTTTTGGGGGGGTCTTTTGGAAAATAACATTTGAATTTAAGTGAGGCAATTTAAGCAGTTGCTTTAGATGCCAATAACTAATAATGTTTTAATGCTGTGTTAAACAATGGAAGGGATCTATAATGAGCTATGCGAGCATCTTAAGGGACGATGGGAATGCACTCTCTGAGTTCTGAATACAGTGAGTTGTCTGCCAACCAGCTCTGCTCAGCTGGGGGAGTCCCACTGTGATTTGTGTCTGTTCATTAAGCCCTCTTGGAAACAGAATCAGTCCCAAGAAACAACTTTCCCATCCCCGACGAAATAACACGTTATCAGTAACTTATCTCTATTGTCTCAAAATTGAAGAGTGGTGTGTTGGAGAAACTGCATCTCGCCCAGCTTCTGTGTCTGATGACGTGGCTGTGGGCATGGATTCCACAGTCCTCTTCCACCTTATTCCTGGGGCTGTCTCACATCCCACACTGACCATTGAGCTGAACTCTCTGGTGTGCAGATGCCATTACTCTAAAAATAGCATGCTTGAGCTTTTAAGGGAGCAGTGAATAAAACTGTGAAGGAATTCAGCAGCCAGAGGCTGTCTTATCTGAGTAAAGCATCTTCACCATTCGTATTGGAAGAGAACATCTTGGATGGGAATGACAGATGCTGACAGGTGATGGAAGCCTTCCGACTGCTGCCCCAGCTTTGCTGTCCACGCTTTGGCTGTGTCCCGAAATGTGTATCTTTTGACTCTACATTCAAGAGCTAAGATCACCCTTAACACTAGCATGCTGCAGGCTCTGAAAACCAAGGAGGACTCTGACTTTGCTTTGAGAGGCCTGACTTAGCCTCCTTTCTGTTAAGATTCCCTTTCCCACAGAGTTAAATGTATTTAAATAGTCATTAATTTCTAAATGTGCCAATGATGGCAACAAAGTTGTGGGAACCAAAGAAGCCCCTCCTTTCCACAAACCCAAGATGCATGTATGATGCCAACCACGGGGCCACCAGCAACCTCTGTTTTGATTTTTAACGTTAGAAAAATATGAGGTGCTGGAGAGAGGGCTCAGAAGTTAGGAGAGCTGGCTGCTCTTGCAGAGAGCCTGGGTTCTGTCCTCAGCATCCACATGATGACTTACAACTGCCTATAACTCCAGTTCTGGCTGCTATGGACACCAGGCATTCACTTGGTACACTTACATGTACATAGGGAGAATACCCACACACATAAAAACAAGATAAAATAAAACCTTAAAAATTAGAATTAAGACCAGGACCAATCTTGGATTGCCTGGTCAGACTTTAAGTGAACAAGAATAGTTGCCACAGGACTGCACCAGCCTACAATCCACACCTTCAGATAAGAGGACTCTAAGAGACATACAGGGTTCCCCAGAGAAGGGGAAAGGGACAGGATCTCCTGAGCTAATTGTGAGCATGGCAGGAAGGGAGAGGGAGTTAGGAGAAAGAGAAGGGGAGAAGAGGACTGGAGAAGAGGATATGAGGGAGCAGGAAGATCGAGTCGGGGAAGAATAGAGGAGAGCAAGAAAGGAGATACCATAGTAGAGGGAGCCA